CTGTAAATCTGTTAGTAAAATTAAAAATGTTGTTAACCTGCAGTTTTTGTAAGATAAAATATGTTGGACAAACTAGTAACTCTCTTAATATTAGAATTAATGAACATCGTTCCGATATAAGCAGTAATAAAATTATCATTAACCTAGAATTGAATCCTTTTAAAGTACATAATTTTAACAGTGCTAAAATTAATATTTTAGATTTAGTAGAAGATATTGATTTAAGACTACAAAAAGAAAATTATTACATGTTTTTATACAAAACAATTTTGCCATATGAGCAACTAATATATAGTATGTTAGTTGCTCATATGGCAAACTCCTCAACTAACTCCTCAGTGTTTCACATTAAAGATGAGCGTACGAATAGAGGTAAACAGGGATCAGGACATAATAAAAACTCTCTTGATAGTGACAAATGAAACGTAAATTTTATTTCTGATAAGGAAAATATTTTACTAAACATTATAACATGTATTTAAGCTTCAAAATTTTATTAACTTTCCTTTTATTAATTTACACTTCAAAATTCTTTGTTTCGTTCTTGTAAAAGCTAAAATGAGTAAAATTTCACCAAATAAAAAGAAACATTTATATAATTTATATTTTGCTATTAACTTTCAAAATCCTATTTTCAAAGTTTAAATTTCATAATATTCTTAAAAATTTTAAAAATTTGTTTCAGTTAAAAGATTTTAACATAATTAAAAGCTATTAATATAATATAACTCTTGGTTGAACTGTTTTTAATTATAATGATACTGGCCAAAATTTAGGGAAAATAAATATATTTGATTATAAATATCACAGTGAAGAAAAAAAATATTTTGAATTTGTTAATAAGCTTCATAAACATATTATTACTGGTAATTTAAATAATTGTAGAAAACTTAGAACTAAGTAATTTGATGTTAAAAGACACACAATTTAGACCCATTTACCAAATATCATTTAATAAAATTCTAGAATACTTTCTTAATCGATATCTGTAATTTTTCTCATAAGATATCAAAAAGATTATATTTACATTTAGGTATGTTAACCGAATGGAAATGGGCTGTTTATTATTAGTTTAAAAACTTTATTTTTAATAATAAGGAAAATTTAAATAACAGCGACAATTCTACAAAATTTTCCAAAATTGATCGATAAAAAAATAAATAAGGTTTTAAAAATAGTAATAATTTTAAACAAGGAGTTAAAAAAATAGTAAAAATTTTAAACTAAGCAATTTAATTAATAATATTATCATAATTTTCTTTCGCTTTATATAAGAGGTAACAAATTAAAATTAATAATATACAATTTCCATACTTAATTATCAGTTCGAAACTTCATAAAATTCCTATTAAATTTAGAACAATCACTTGTACTTACCTAACTAAACAAAGCACCATTTTCTCTAACTATTTAAATAAAATTATTAACAATATTAATAAAGAAGTTCTTTTTGGATTATTACTAATAATCAACCAATTTTAGAATTTATTAAACAAAATAAAATTAATTCTATTACAGCTTCCGGATAGCTTTCCCCTTTTTGAACTAAAATATGTTCTTCTAAGTTATGAGTAGAAAAATAACCTTAATTGCGATTTTGATTATTGGGAAATTATAATTAATATTTCTCTTTTGAATATTTATTTTTACGATAGAAAACATATTTTTGTTCAAATTGATGGAATACCACGAAGAACTTATTTTTCATCTCTCTTAGCTAACTTAATTTCCCACTATTATGAAAAAAATTACATACTCTTAATATTAAATTTGTTTTTGGATTTATTGATGATTTAACAATATTTAATTTTCAAAATTATACAATTTTGTTAAATAATATTTAAGCTTATTAATAATCTTGCTTCATAATCATACTGATAATATTAATTTTAATTTTTGATTTATTAGCTGATTTATTAAACTGATTTATAAACCTATATTAGGTAGGTATTTTAGTTACGTCACACTAGAGTTGCACAATGGGCTATTGGCGACGGTCTGGGAAATATCCCCGAGAATGATCCGAAGACATGCCATCGCAATTTTGATCCTCTGCAGAGGGGATGGCTCCTCCGGTTTGGTAGCTGGGCGACCTGCGAGCGAAAGTCGAGCACTTTACGGTGGAACAGTTTAGCGAAGACCGATACCGAGCACCCTCGGTCCCTACATAGGCTGATCAATGTGATCACCCACCCGCTTACAGACCGCAGCCAGTGATGCTTGACTTCGGTGTTCTACTGAAAATTGTGTTTCTACGATATGACCCCTGAGGGACTAAAATTTTTGAATATAGGTATTAAAAAAGACGAAAATATCTGCATTGTTGATTTATACGATAACAGAAATTATTTTAATTTTAAAATAAATAAACTAATTAGTTGGAATTCTAATGTTTCTAATAACATCTATTTAAATACTATTTTTAATCAAATGAATCGAATTAAAAGAATATGTAGTAATGTTTATTTATCCAAAAGACAAACTCTTTCAAAATTTGTTTAAAAAAACAATTGATAACCAATTAATGTAATTAGGTTCTGTGCAAAATCATTGAGTTAATTATATGTTATTATTATTAATAAATTTATTAAAAATTTCTTTGTTAACTAAATTTATATTTTACCATGTTCACATCCAATTCATGACTAAAAATCTTCAAAAAATTTAAAAGGAATTTTTGTTTTAATAAATGTTAATAATTTATCTGAAATCATTAAAACTGTATAATTAAAAATCTACCTTACAAATTATAAACTTTGAATTATCTCGTCTAATATTATTGCCTTGCGCTCATCATGTTCGGGCCTATCTGAGGTAACTAACAAATCAAACGCGCTTCAGTACTTCAGTTAGAACGCGCTATAAAAAGTTACCTCTATCCTCTATTTACGCTTCTATTGTCATATTTTATATTCTGGCAAACTTGCTATGAAAATATTTTAAATCATTTTTGAAAATATCGGTATGTGTAAGTTAATTTAAATTCGCTACTAGCTTTATATATTGCATTTTGTATTTTATTCTGTATTTTTATTTTTATTTATTATTTTCTTTTTTTTATTATTTTTTTTTCTTTTTTTGCTTTTTAATTTCTATATTTTTGTTTGAAATGTTTTATTTTGTATTTTTTACTTAATATGTTCTCTTTTGGTTTCAATTTTTTCGGGTACATCTCACTCTATTGCATTGATGTATTTTGCTTTGATTATATTAATACAATATTAGAAAGCACTCTTTTTTTGCGGATAAAATCGTGTGAGCTGATGAAGAGATTATATATTTTAATTATTTTGTTTTCAGACTTTTTATTTTTTTTTAAATAAAATTCTTAAATAATTTTTAAAATATTTTATTTTTATAATTTTTCTTCTTATTCTTTAATACATTTTGATTATATTTTTTTCATGTTTTCTCTATATTTTTAACTTTTTTATGAATTTAACAAACTTGCAGCTTATGCGCAGAAAATAAAATAAAACTTATCATTGTCACGGTATATATATATATATATATATGTATAATAAATAAATAAATACATGAAAACACTAAGAGAGTTTAGAAAAACAATAAGTTTCATTTATTGCGCTTAAGCTGCAAGTAAACAGCACTCATTAGATAAGTTCAAAATGAAGAATAAAACAAAGAAAAATTATAGACATATTAAAAAAGGGGGGGTGGGAAATAATAAGTAAAAAAATAACAAACAACTTTTCCGGCTTTTTTTCCGGTTTTTTAATTAACATTTCATTTTTTTTTTTTAATAAAATGTTATTTGTTATTTTTTTTACTTACTATTTCCCACCCCCCTTTTTTTTAATATGTCTATAATTTTTCTTTGTTTTATTCTTCATTTTGAACTTATCTAATGAGTGCTGTTTACTTGCAGCTTAAGCGCAATAAATGAAACTTATTGTTTTTCTTAACTTTCTTAGTGTTTTCTTGTATTTATTTATTTATAATAACATTTTTTATAACCCCTGTTNCCAATGCTCATAATCATAATCAATTCTCAAACAAACACTTTCTGCAGTGGACACTGTAAGGAGATTTATTGAGAGGCAGCTGAATATGTCAGAGGAGAAATTTAAAGCCCTAGTCCACTTAAAAAGTGCTATAGACAAACTTTCTTACACATTTCTAAAGCAAACAACTATTGAATCTTTTTAAGTGTAAAAAGTATTTTTAGAATAAATATGGAATAGTAAATAAGATATGTAAAGAACATTTTTCTTTATTTTACCATCGATAACATGCGATTTTCGATAATACGAATTTTTTCTCCTCTTCCTTCAAGTTCGAGATATCGAGGTTTGACTGTGTATATATATACATTTTTTCTACAACAATGGATAAATAGTAATTAAAACAAAATAAAAATAAAAAACTCTTGGCAAACTGGAATTTCCAAAAACAAAAAGGGAGGTATTTTAATTTTTAAACGAATTATGAACAAATACAGTCCTTTCAGCACGTCAAATTTTAATTTTATAGTTGCATTACAGCGACGGCCTTCAGAGCGGTCTGCATGTTATTTTTTTCTACAAATTCAATAGTTTATAATTCTCGAACTATCTGTCGACTGTTAATTTTTTTTTATTCTATCTTATTTCCTGTACATTTTTCTGCTCACTTTCATTATTTCAAGTTTCTAAATCAAATAATGTTTTGGTGCAACAAAATAAAATGTAACCTTGTAGCTATCTGAAAATTCGAATTAATCCAACTGTTATAATAGTGCCATTACGAAGAAATTCTTACAAATAAAGTTTTAAATAATTTACACAATCATTACGACACATTTGTAAGAATCGTGGGAACCTTGCAAAGGAATTAAAAAGAATTATTATTTTTTTTAAGTATATCTTTCAAACGATAACTAAGCTGCTTTTGAATGAAGTGTGGTTCAGTTTTATGCGCATTTATTTGCCATAAACAAAACAAATATCCGGAACAGGCTATAAAAATGAAAATCACTCTTTTAGAATCAGAAAACAGTCATCAAAATCTAGTATATGTTTGAAGAGCAACCTGTAAACCAGTTCGGAACTGCGTATTAAATAAATGTCACGGAATAAAAAAAAAAAATGATTCACAGAAAGTGATGTTGCATGACAGTGCAAGAGGTCAGCACACTTTCGATTGCAAATTTTCAAGGCTGTCAACCACGGGTCAATATTCCCGTGTAGTCAGGTAACTTTTTTCTTTTAATTATAAATTGAAGATTCATCTAAATTCTAACCCCTAAATGTGAAAAAACTAATCCGGAGTTTTTGGTGGATCTAGTTAGAGCTGGCCAGTCTGGTGGTGTGTGTGATAGTCATGAATGTTAACGTTAACATCATCGTCATCACATTGCTAGTAAGTAGTACTCCATTTTTTTTTAACTATTACACATGCAAATAGTTGTTCAATAATGCATTTAAAGCAAGACTAAATTACTTACTTTTTTTTTCATTGAAGCCACAGCTGGACGGTGCTCTTTGTAAATTGCAATGATATAAAAATTTGTTGTAAAAATAATGGTTCCATTGTTCAAATTACCTCTGCATTTTCTTATGTTAGCTGCTATTTCAGTTTAAATTACACGATTCTGATTTAAAATTAAATGTTTTGTGTCACTAATATATCAAGTTAGACAGGTATGTTTTGTTTTTCCAACAAAACATACCTGTCTAATTATAACGATGCTGTTTTTATGTTTTTGGAAAAAAAGAAAAAAAAAACTGATAGAATATCTTCTGGTCAAGCGACTTTAAAGGTTCTGAAATGCTCAATTAAAAAAACCAGATAAAGCTATTTAAGAAGCTACTACTGAATAATAATTTTTCGTAATGTTTAATGAAAACAGTAAATGATAAACCAATTAATATAAAATAAGCATTTAAAATTAAAATTTCGAATCAATAATGTGAATTAACTTCCAGCGCTGTTGTTAAAAAAATGTCCCTTGGATATAACATTAAAAGCGTTTTTATAACATAGCTGCCTTTTTTTTAAACTACTTCTCATGGAATTTTATTTTAGTTTCAATAGGAGGAAAACAATTGAAATGACCTTTGTAAGCCTTTGCTAAGCAAACAGCTATTTTTTGTTGACCTTTGTAAGAAATTACATTTCTTGCGCAATTTAGAACGTTATCTGAATAACACACCAGGTAGCGTTCTCATTGGAATTAGAAATCACATGATGCATAAATAACCGTAATAATAAACAAAGAATTTCCAAGTATCCTTGATTAACATCAGCGTATATAATAGTTATACAACGATATTATAGTTTATAATAATAGTTATTACAACAATATTAAAAATTAGCTTTTGCTAAATATTTAACGATTTCTTATATTAATCAAAAGTAGCCAATGTGAACCAATGACTTCCTCTGAAGATTTCTTCATAATGAATTCCGATTTATTCCAATTTATTATCTTCAATTCTATTCATTAATTGCAAGAAAATCAGAATCCACCGAATCAGCCCATCTCAACCGCAGCCTTCCCTGCGTTCTTGTTCCAGTGGTTTTAAAAAGTAATATCTTTTTTATTGTATATTCATCACTCATTCGAGTCACGTAGGATATCCAATTTATTCTATTTTTTTTATGTATTTAATAATATGAGGTTGTTTATATACCTTGTACAGTTCAAAGTCAAATCTCCTTTTCCACTTATTGTTTTCATTTACACCTCCAAGTACACTTTCCAAAATCTTTCTCTCAAATATTGCGTTACAATTTTCCTCCAGTTTTGTTTTCTCCAGCTTCAGAAGCATATGTCAAGACAACCCTGACAAGATTTTTGTAAATTAAGAGCTTTGTTTTTCTAGAAAGAAACATAGATTTAATAAATCTTCGCAGCTCATAGATTCTCTGTTATCAGTAGTAATAATTGATCCTAAGTAAGTAAAACTCCTCACAATTTCAAATTCAATGCAAGATAGGTGATTGGGATTCTGTTTCTTGAGAATAACATGTATTTTGTTTTCTTTACATTTATGATTACGCCAATTTGTCTTGCAGCCACCTTAAGGGCAAGTAATGCATCTTTCAGAGCAGGAAGGGAACGAACAACAGTAAATGCAAGTAGTTGTTCTAATCTAGTAAAAATATTACCACTGGTTTTGATATTTGAAGCACGAATAACTCTCTCAAGTGCAATATTAAAAAGAAGTCAGTAGAGAGAATCTCAGAATTTTAATCCTACACTTTTGTGTCTTTCAATGTAAGTTGCGCCAGTTTAATTTTGAAGGTATTTTAAAATCCTTCATTGTTTCAAGAAGATAATTTCTACCGATACTATCAAAAGCAGCCTTGAAATAAATAAAACGATAATGTCTTGCTTCCATTAGTACGTGATCAATTTGATAGCATAAGTGCCATCTGAGACACGCCAAAGTAACATTATGAACATTTTTATGTCGAAAGGATGTGCTGTTCGTCCATTATCATTGGTCGTATCATGTAAACCAAATCCTCCAATTGCAAATTTAAACTCCCTTTCTCTACCTTCTTAAGTATTTATATCACCCAAAATAATTTTTGTATCATATTTTGGACAACTGAAGTAAATTTTGTCTAAATTTTCAAAGAAAATTTCGTTTTGTTTCTTTGTTTTATCTTCAGTTGGTACATAAGACCAGATAATATTGAAATTAAAGAACTTTTCCTTAATTCAGACCTTACACAGTTTAGGAGAGACTGCTTCAAAATCCAAAATCAGGTGTTGTATTCTTTTACTTACGATAAAGCCAGTGCCTTCAATATGTTTTTTAGGATGACAACTGTAAAAAAAAACAGTATGATTCCTTTTTGTTCCATGGTAAGTAGTGATAAATAGTTTAAAATTAAGAATAGTAAGAGCTTATATTACACCAAACGGAAAACAGTTACGTATGAAATTGTTTTATTACTAATTGTTCTTCTTTTCAGTACTTTAGCAGTTTAAAATTAAATAACATCATCGCTCTACATATAAAACCTTGTTTTGAGTTCTGTTTAAAAAATTTCTGCTTTAGTTTGTTATAACTGAGGATTTCTGTTTATAAGAGTGGCAACAAAGTGTATCCCTAGCAGTAAATAACTTGGGCCCTCATTGGGCCAATATTCATGAATCTTGGCTCCGTAAGGGTTCAAAGATTTCATATTAGAAAAAACTTTATTTTTCCGATATTGGCCCCATGTAGAATTTTCCGATCTTCCTGATATTTTACAGCCACTTAACAACCAATTTCGGTCCTATACAGAATTGTCAGATCCACCCGATATTTTATATCCATTATTTAGCCAATGTAGGTTTTATATTGGCCAATGTAGGCCCTATATAGGCCATTCTAGGACCTATGTTAAAAAAATCTAGAGATCCCAATATTGGTCCCTCGGTACATGTCCCTATAGGATCCATATCGAGGTAATTTTGAACCCAACTGGCCAAGGAAAAATTGTTGCTAGAGATTTTTCATTTCTGTTTTAATAAACCTGATTTAAAGTTATCACTGAGGATATTTCACATCCACACTGTGGTCGGTGCAAGCCTGATGATCGACCAGCCATCGGTGAGATTCGCACACGGTTCACCTCATTGGAAGGTGAACGCTATATCCCCTGAAATGTATTTTTCGATAAATTGCTAATCTTTTTATCATAGTTTTTTAATAAAGTATGATTATTTGATAATTATAATTAACGATCACGCATAATTGTACATACCATCATCTTCCAACTAATGCGAAATTTTCATAATTTCGTAACATTTATATTCGGCAGCGATAAAAATAATTTGTTCAACCCATCTAACCACTCCACCATAAAAATAAGTTATCCACTACATAGAGCAATCGGAAACGTGTAATAGCTCCACTCTAACTCTCGGACTTGCTTATGCTGCTACGGAACTGGACCGGCTGACCATAAACAATTGAAATAAATGTTTGAAAATGAAGAGTTTTTATTCATGCCCATGGTAATAACATACATTTTAACACTAAACATTCGTAATTTTCCGGAAAAATAAGCAGGGTGCTCCGTAAGTACCGCCTTTTACATCTATTTTTAGAATCCCAGTCAAGAAAGAAGTTCAAAAAAATTTGTCTCATAATATTATGAAGATGAATGTTCAAGCGAAGAATTAACAAAAACATCTCAGAAAACAATCGAAATAAGCGAGATTGTTAGCAGGAAAATATCAAAACCAGTTTCATTGTCTGATCATTTTTGATTATCACCTTCCAATCTTCCCAAATCTGTCGCATAGATTTTCGCGATTTCGGTGAGGTCTTCCTCAGCAGCGATTCGTCTTTTTAATTCGGATTAAGATCCGTAATGAGCATTTCTATTACGTCACTTCTTATAAGGGATTCAAAATATATATTAAACGTAGTCCCAGTATATTGCATATTTTTTTTAAAGCACTTATTTTACCATTTTTAGGTAATCATTAATCTAGTCGACAGCGGAAGCACTGGATCAAAATTTGGTTATAAGTCAGGAATCAAAGATTTTATATCAGAAAAAACTAGAGGTACGTAAATCTAATCTATTTATATTTAAGCATTAACACTCTAGAATTATGTAAGATGCTCAGTAATAACCATTCTTTTTATATATTCATAGAATCCTTGGCATAAAAATAGCAAGCACATTCATATTAAAGGGGGGATAAACGAAATCGCTATCGAAATCTGATGAATCATTACTGAGAAAGACATGACTGATTCTTGGAGGAAGCAGAGAAGAAATTAATGTTGGTTATTAGAAAGCTCCAAGCATGATCAGGCAATCAAACTGTTTTTGATTTTCTCATTCGAAAGATTTCGATATCGTTTTTGTTTTCCTCCCAATTAAATGATAATTTGTTATCTATATGTATACTTTTTGACTTTATTAGAAAAAAAAAAATTCTAAAAACATATATTAAAGAGGGTTATGTATTTTGTGATTTTTCAATTGTTAGAATTTAAAGTGAGTAACTTTCCTAGCTTTACTAAAATTTTTGCTTAGCTTTATTGTAATTTAAATGCAAATAGGAATAATTTTTAGAATAATATTAAAATTTCTCCAATTTCTAAAAAAAATAAATTAACTAGCTGTTAATTGATCAAAATAGGCATAATTTTTTACTTATACTATCTAATATTATCACATTATTAAATTCTTTAAACAATGAAAAAATTTAAACTTTGAGATTTTTAACTTTATGTTGAACATTACTATATTAGTAATTAAGATATTAATAAATTATTAAAAATTTTTGTAACCAGTTTGTTATTTACATATTTTCCTAATAAATACAGAGGTTTTGATTACAACTATATTATCTTTTAATCGGCAATATTTTGAAAAAATTGGACGACTTTCATATATATTTACTTAGTAATAAATACGTGTTTCATCCAAGCAGTTTCACCTCATACACAGGGTGTTCTGTAAAGACCGCCCTTACTGTGCATTTTTCCAGAATGAAAACAATAAAACATGCACATTGAGGTCGCACATTCATACTTAACTGAGGAAAAAATAAAAACGCTTTTGAAATATGTATATATGAGATGTAAGTGAATGAGTATTTTCTTTTCTTCCTGACGTCGAAAAAAAACTTTTTTAAGTAAGAAATCAGGGAAATAAGCAAATCTTAATGAATGGATGACATGAATGAATGAAATCTTAATTAATCTCATGAAATGCTTTAAAATTTCAAATTAATTAGAGGAACTTAAAATACAGCGCGTAATCAATCGCTGTATTTTAAGTTCCTGAATAAAAAGTGTAAGATTTTGATTTATTTTGTGAATTTGCTCATTAGAGATATCCGGATATTCCATATAAGGTTAATCAAACTTTTTATTTATTCTGTCCCTGATATTATGAATTATCCTCGAATTAGCAAGTAATATTTCGATATAATAATATAGCGAATAATCTATGAATTCTTTAAATTGGGGTCTGACTTACCGAATGAATTCTAGAAATTCTCTAAAAATTGAGACACAGTATCAAGAAGTATGACATGACACATTTTGATCAAAATTAAAACATTTAAAATCAGCAGATTAAATAATTTTATGCAATTAGTTTTCATATTTTTCCTCAAAATAAGTACAGATCTAACCATTACTGCTGCTATGGTCACAAATACCATTAAAAAATAAATTTTAAAATATGATCTGTAACAAGTGTTTTGATTCTGAACTGCTAGTATATGTTTATGCAATAAAAAGGGTGATGGGAGGAGGGGCACAGTATGTATTTCTTAATTATTATCTTTATTGCATATTAGTTTCCTTGATGTGCCGGTCAAGTGATATTCAAGTGAATTTGAATTTCTCCTACCCTTTCCGAGGATTGGTGCATGCAGGGAAAAAAGACAGCGGTTGCAGTTTCCGGGGTGACGGAAAGCTTTCCTACTCACTTAATGTTCCTCATGCTTCTTGTGGCACCATTCATGTAGTAAGTAATTATACATCACAAGTAAACTGATTTGCTGTATTAATCCTCCAAACATTGAGTACCTAAATAAAATAATACTGCCCTGCACTGCATTCCCATTGAACAGCTGCAGCTAAAAGTCCTGAAAACTCTGCTGAGGGGGTTAAGAATCCTTTTAAAAATTCCAAAATTGATTAAATTAATTCTACCTTCAATTATACATAGTAAAACCTAATAGTATATTGTAAATTGTAACAAATAGTAAATAAACAAAGGATATTTCATTCTACTTTAAAATGTAAGAGTTTGACATAAATAAGTAACACATTATCAAAAATAAATAAAACAACTGCGCCAGAATTTTTTTTCCTGTTTACAAAATCCCAAAATAGAGTTTTAATTAGTGTCTTTGTTCTCTGTTGTAACAAGTGAATCATTTTGGGTGTATGTCCTGCCACACAAGGGGGATTAAAATTTTTAAAAATACGACTTATATATATATATATATATAGATATATAAATTGTATTTTTAAAAATTTTAATTCCCCTTGTGTGGCAGGACATATAAATTAAATAGTTCCAGCAAATTACTTAGTGTTGCAAGCACTATGAATGAATTTTACGAAGGTAATCAGGTTTACAATTACACCAAGTGAAGCAAATTATCCACAAAGTAAAAAGTTAAGTTTTTAAAATGAATAGTCAAATGTGAGTTTTATCAGGAAGGTATATGCATCTATTTACAGGAAGGTAGCAGTACAAAATGAGTAACATTCAAAGAAAAAATTAATGATGGACTTTTCCATAAAAGGGGCTCCCAAATCTATGTCCATGGCCTTTGCTGATTTTTCCTATGTGTTCACTGCTGTACAGCCATGATGAAAATATTTCAGTTTCCAATAAAAATGCCCTGTAAATGTATAAGTTCTTAATAAAAATTCATCTCGAAAAAAAAAAAAGAAATTCTTAGTAAACACCATTGAAACAATACTCTAAAATTTGCTCTTAGGTATCAAATGATGCAGGACTCCAGCTCTAAAGCATCCTTTCGTTAAAGACAAAAATAATTTTATTTAGTTTTTACTTTTGTTTGTAGTTAATGATTTAATATATACAGTAGGGAACCGATTATCTGGAACGATCGGGATAACTGATTTTTCCGGTTTTCTGAATCGCTACAAAAAGCCGTTTTTTTTTTTTTTGTTAAACCCAACTAAAAAAAAGAAAAATATTTGGAAACAATCCTAAAAAGAAGAAAAAACGATGAAGTAATAAACTAATGATTCCAAAATGAAGGTAAGGTAAACATCTTTCAAAAAAGAAAGAAAAATCCTAAAATCTTATGAGGAAAAAAACTTTTTAAAAAAATGGCGGGAAAATGTATCGAATTTCGTTCCGGTTTTTAGGTTTTCTGATTTCCGGATAACGGGCTCTGTACTGTATATATATATATAATATATATATATATATATTGACGATTTAATGTACGGATTTTTATGATTTAATAAATGTATTAATAATAACAAAATTAAAAATATTCTGTTGCAGACACCACAAGACAGTTTTGCAAATACCCTCACAATACGTTACCACCCAGCATTGGAGTTGGAAGGAGATGAAATTAAGACTATTCTCTGTAAATACGGAACTGGAAGTATACAATTAGGATAAATATTATTAAAAATTATTATACATAAATTAAGACTTTTTTTCTTACAGTAGTGCTATTTTACCGTAAATTAAATGATCAAAAGTATAATAATGTTTTAATACACAATATAAATATTATTATAGTTTGCACAATTAGATAAAAATGTTGCGCACTAATTATATATGAAGATCAAGGCGGGGGTGAAGAAATGGCTGATGAAAGCTGATTCCGGGAAAATGAAATTTAAAAAAAAAAAAAAATTCAAGAATTATCAGAAGCAAGAATACAATACAAGTCATTCACAACTTGTTAACCATAATTTACAGAGCCCTAGGTAACAGATGTTCAGAAAATGATGTTACAGAGTTAGTGAACTGTAACTTATTTGTTTGCATTTCTAGTTTTTATCTGTTAATTATCATGTAACAAAATTAATGCAAACATTTTTTCGACGGTAAAATATAGTTTTTTGACTGATTACATGAAAATTTAACTGATTGAAAGAAAACTGATTTCTTACCAGGAGAGCAAACCTGCGTTGAGGTTGAAAGTTGAATCAATTTAAGCAGATATATTTTATTTTCAATATACTCTAAAAACAGCATAATACATTTAATAAAGAAGTCTAACTTTTATTTGCTTTATTTTTGAATAGAAATTTTGAGAAACAGATATCGCACATCTCTTTGTAAAGTTGAATTTTCAAACCTAAATTTTTTTTATAAAAATCAGGATGTAGATTTATACACCGGTAATCAAGTCGGATATTTGCTGATCATGAAATAGAGATGCAATAAGAACAATGAAATAGATATGAATAACTCTGTATAAGACTTATACAGAGTTATTCATATTTATTTCATTCAGAGTTATTCATTGTTATTCATATTATTCAGAGTTATTCATATAATCTATTACGAACTTTTCGAGAATTTAAATTTTGATGCTTATTTTTGCGAAATTTTTTTTTTTTTACCGAAAATCTCTTTTATGAACTATTTTAATAAAATTCAAATTTTTCCTAAAGTGTAATTTCATCAGAAATAAATTTCTAATATAAAACTAAAAAATTATTTAGAACATTTTATAAACAACTAACTTTAAGTTTTAAAAAGACAACAAGGATTGGTAAATATTATTACATTTTATATAAATATTTGAAAAATTTCTCTTTGAAAATATAAGATACCATCAATGTAATTCATTATAAGTAATACATTATTATTTACAATTCACTTTTTTTGGTAAAAGCGCTGATTACCGAATAAAAATTTTGATTCTTGAAAATTATTAATTACAGTTTTCTTTTAAAGAATTGTTTCTGTAGGTGTCGATAAATGGAATAAAATTTTAAATACACCTTTATGTGATTCTTGAAATAAGACTAACCTATCTGTAACATAAAATATAATTTAGCAACATTATGAACAATGCAACTGGTCAGATAATAATTAAAAACCTACAGATAAATTGAAATTCCTATTTTAGTTGAATTAATGTTTGCCTTAGTTTTTAAGTCTTCTAAAACCAATACATGTATTTTAAAAACTAGTTAGTACATATCTATTTTTTAACTAGCAAATTCTAATTAAAAACAACATGAAAACAAAGATCTACATGTCTTCTTTGTATTATTAGGTCTTTCCAGAACCTACTACCTGGAATCTTATGTAAGCAATTAAGACCAAATGAAGAAATCCAAAATGTATAACCTTTTGTACTTAAATAAAATAAAGAAGAAAACAGTTGTAAGACTCATAATTTTTAATTTTAAACATTTCTGGGAAGGTATCATCAACAACATTTACGAATCAAACAACATTTACAAATGCAACAAAAGGAATTTCAATGAGTTTTCAAGAATTCCAACTTTTGTGTACTATAAAATTAATCAATAACAACATTTCAGAATTTAAAAGTCATATGCATTTATTAATCGATCCAATAACGAATAAGAAAAAGTAAATATGTATAAAATGTTTTCAGAATTTGAATAGTATAAGTTTATCCTAAAAAAATACTAAATATTTTAACATACAAAAAGGTAAATGCATAAACACATACTCTAAATACTGTGGAAAAATCCCTAAAGCTAAAAAGTTATATTTGAATATTATTTTTTTATAATATTGTTTCAGAAATAAAACACAACTAAACATCTTAGGGGGATATAACATAGAATGTTCTGATATTAAGTTAAAAACATTCTGTCCTTAGATACATTTGTTTTCAGTTAAAATTTTTATTAAGAAAGACATATAAAAACATATGCATTATTTTCATTCATCTATCACAAAAAAGTGTATTGATTTCTTAATTAATTGAATAGTAAATAGTTATTTTTCAAAGTGATCTTTAATTTCTTTTTGTTATCTTTTATTGAGTGCATTATTATCACTTTAAATATTTTGGTAAAAAGAAACCTAATTATTTTAGCTTTATTCCTGAAAGAAGTATTCTTAGAGAGAAAAAAACTTATTGATTGTTACAGATCATATTATCTGAAATCAGACAGGAATAATTATAAGATTTATATCCATCAGGACGAAGATTATCGAATATCAACGTTATTATGCATAATAATTAAAATAATAAATACAGGGTTGATATACAATGAGAAAAAAATAAGAGTCAAAATTAAGAATACGAAAAAGAAAAAAAGCACCACAATTATCAATATTAAATATAATATGAACTAAAAATAATATGACTACAGGCATATATAATTAGAAATAATTAAAAGGTAAGTTATGTAAAACAATAGAAGTAATAAACACAAAATTAAAAATTTAGAGAAAGAAATAAAATTTACGTATCTCATTTAATTACATAACCTTCAAACTTTGTTTATGGCACTAAATAAATGCAATCTGGCAATTTAATAAAGTTAATAGGATCAATATGGTGAAAAAATTATATTTATTAAAAAATTTAATAATTTAGAACAAAGAATGAACATCTTAAATTTTAAAGGGTGCAAAATCTTTACTCTTACGGTCGTTATTGTACTACTACCAAAAAAAAAAAAAGAAAGAAGAATCACGAAATAGCACAAATAATCTGAAAACAAACTCATAAACCTGAAAAAATTCCCATATACTGAGAGACTCATATCAAAGATAATTCACAGTTTACCAGCGTTAAGGCATGGTGCAAAAATATTAAGTATTTCTTATTCAGTGAATTCAAACAATTTTTGTCTTATATTATATTACACTTTGACTCATAGGAGTGGACAGTCAATATCTTCATTCATTTCAACGTATACAGTTTTCAGTTGTGTAAACTCATTGATAGAAGCCAGTCCATTTTCTCTTCCGTATCCAGACATTTTGTATCCTCCAAATGGAACTTCAGGGGGAAATAAATTATAGTTATTGATCCACACAATGCCAGCTTGCAAATCAGAAGCAACTCGGTGTGCTCTCTGAATGTCCCTGAAATATATATAATTTTCATCGTCATTTTTTGAAAAATTCAAACATTTTTTTAGCAAAAATAATTCTAAAGTGTTGCGACTTTCACAGAAGATTGAAATTCCTTGATTGTTAGGTGTATAGTTAAATTCTGGTCAAGTGTGCACTGGGACAGCTAAATACCAAGCAAATAAGATATCATACCAAGATACCAAGCAAATAGCAAATAGATAAGATATTGCTCATTTAACATTACCCAGTGGTCACCTATGAATCTCAGTCACGGAGGCGAGCAACATTACACACGCCACAGATGCCTATTCATAGGGTTTTTCACATTCACACAACAGAGAACAACACACAGAGAGGAAAATATCCATGCTCTGAGAGGGATTCGAAAATGCAGCCACAGTCAGGCATACTGACCTCTTGGCCACCTGTCCGGTTGTGCTGGATGTTACTATATTTATAAAAATAAGAATTAAAACATAATTAAAACATAAGAAATAAAAAGATTTAGAAATTGTTCTTAACGAATCTTAATAGCAGTACAGAAAACAAATTTCTCTAATTTATGCGCATTTGCTATCTAGTCCATAAATATCAATATGCCCAGTGGTACAGAGTTCTGAGCCATACATTAATAAGTTGTTGGTCCCCCTTTTGTATCGATGGTAACCTGCAATTGTCTGGGGAGACTTTCTACCAGGTCTTGATAGTTGACCATAGGATTAGATTGTCAAGTGCCTATCATAGTTGAAGTGAGTGCTAAATGTGGAAGAGAAATTAATCCTTCCTTGAAATATAACTATAGAATTTAGAGAGCAGTCGCGATGGCTCAGGGGATAGAGTGTTTGCCTTTCAATGAGGTGAACCGGGTTCGAATCCCAGCGATGGATGGTCGATACGAATCTGCATGTAGGTTGCATTGACCACAGTGCTGATGTGAAGTATCCTCAGTGGTAGACAGATCATGGACTGGAGTCCTCTTGTTGTCAGGCTAATCGATATTTTTTTGTGGTTCCCCCCCATGTAATGCAAATGCAAGTTCCATTAAAAAGTCCTCCGTGAAGGCGAATTTTTTCCAATACTTTATCCAGGAGTTCCCTTGTCTTCTGGATTGGGTTCAAAATTACAAGGATACATGGTTGAACATTAGTAGTCGTAAACCCAAAAATTTGGTCGGCTGTCCAACGACAGTTATAAAATAAAATATAGAATTTAGAGAGCAACATTGTTCATTGTCTCGGATTTTAAGATTCTAACCAAAGGAATTAGAGGACCTAGGCTAAACCATGAAAAACACTGTCACACCATGACGATTTAGATACAGTGTTAATATCCATGCAAGTTACTTTTATTCCGATAGTTGACTGAATTGAACAACTGTAAAACCTATCCATGTACTTTTTTCACAGCTTCCCAATTAGAAATAGATTTCCCTTTGTTTTCATAACTGAGTACAAAACAAATATGGCACCACACAAACATAAATATTCATTATCATGTAAGCATAAAACATGTTACAAACAAAAGTAAACAAAAAAATAAATAATTTAGAAACTGCAACCCTATAGACATTTTTGCAACAGCATAAAATATTTTTATGGCAGAATGCCAGCAAAAAATCTGTAGAAAAATAAAAGAATGCAATATTTATAAAATAAACAGAGCACAAAATAGAACATTATAAGAGCCTGAAATACAGTAAGAAATTAAATAGGAACACTTTTCAGGGCTGAAAATAGGCTTATGAATCAAGATCTTCCTATGAATTTTTTAAGAAAACAAACATTGTAAAAATTTATAATAACACAGGGTAACAGAATTACAAGATATAACATAAGAATGTTAAAAACCGTTTGAAAAAAAAATTAACTTTACACATTTTGTGTTTTGTTGGCAATTGCTAGATTAAACCTCCAAACTTTTCCGAGTTGGACAAGATTTAAAACAAAATTTCTTTTAAATATTGAAATTTATTTAATAAGCAATAAAAAAACAGCAATGGGATTCAAATAATTTCAAAACAGGTTAACTTAAAGAAACTTTCAGGATATGTAAGGAAAATAAACAAAATATTTTATAATTTTGGAGTTAAAGAAATATTTAGTCTAAAAATATAACCAACATTTAAATAGTTTTAAAATTCATAATTCTAAAATTGCAAATTCATTACATATTTTTATTTTAAGAACTGGTATGATCATCCCCCCTGAATCTTATCACTGTATATAATACATATAAAGGAAAAAGACAAATCCTAGTATCTTTATTCGGAAATATTAAGAAGGGAGCACATTAAAATGTTTTAATACTTGAAAATATAAAAACTTTATTAGTTGCAAAAATTTTTGAAGGTGTTAAAAATCGACATGTATTAAGGACTCATAAATAGGCGCCAAATCTGAATGCTTTCTAGATATGAGCGAGGAAAACAAGAGAGAGATTTAATATAGAAATAAAATTGTAAACAAAATAAAGATAAATAAATTTTTAAAAAATAGATAAAATGCACTGGAAGCTTTTTATTAAGGGAGGATAATAAAATGTTTTTATACTTGAAAATATAAAAACTTTATTAGTTTCAAAAAAATTTTGAAGGTGTTAAAAATAGACATGTTTTAAGGACTCATAAATAGGCGCCAAATCTTAATGCTTTCTAGATATGAACGAGGAAAGCAAGAGAGAGATTTAAAATAGAAATAAAATTGCAAACATGATAAAGATAAATAAATTTTAAAAAAATAGATAAAATGCACTGAAGCTTTTATATTATCAAGCATACCTTTCTGCTCTAGTTTCTTGGGATTACTAATTTAAAATGAATTCATTTTCTTTATATAAAAAAAGAAGTAATAAAAATATACTAGCACGTAAAAAATAAACTAAAATCCAATTATTAAACTTGGTTTTTAATGGATGGATAAAGTTATCCGACAAATCATTGAGCAAAAGCAGTTATTTAAATTTAAAGTCTTCTTATATACCAAATAAAACCAGAAAGATTAAGATCAAAATTCAAATAAAACACAAGAAAGTTTAAATTTAGTAAAAACTATACTTAGTCATGACACCAGCAGCTAAGCCATATGGAGAGGCATTTGCTCTTCTAACTGCTTCTTCTTCACTTTCAAAAGATAGTACGGAGACCACAGGTCCAAATATTTCCTCCTTCACTGCAGTCATTTCGTCCTTACAACCAGTGAGGACACATGGTGAAATGTAAAATCCTTTCAGGTGTGCTTCTTTTGGCGTGATTCTTTCTCCACCACAAGCTACTATCGCTCCCTAAAGACAACAATAAAGTAAACATTTTCCTTTAACCTTGAGTTTAGACAGTTCATTAAAGTACAAGCAATATCTGTATTATTGCTTTTTTCCCTTTTTTTACAAAAAAGAAGAAAAAATAAAAGAAAGAAAAAAAAGAGCAAAGTTTTAATGTGAGCCATGGTGGCTCAGGGGATAGAGAGTTCGCCATCCAATGAGATGAACCGGGTTCGAATCAGAGCATTGGCTGGTTGGCACGACGTCAGCACCTGGCTTGCACCGACCACAGTGCCGATGTAAAATATCCTCAGTGGTAGACATATCATGGGTCAGAGTCCCCTTGCCGTCAGGGTAACCATGGGAGGTTTTGCTCACCATGTAGAGTAAATGCAAGTTGGCTCCATAGAAAAGTCCTCCAAGAAAGACCAATTTCTCCCACTACTTTATCCAGGAATTCCCTTGTCTTCTGGATTGGGTTCAAAATTATAAGGCAACGGAGTTGAACATTAGTAGTAGTAAATTCAAAAATTGAGTTGGCTATTCCAACGCAAGTAATAAAAAAAAGTTTCAATATAGTTATTTTAAATCTAAACAAAATAAAAATAAGAGTGTGAATTATTAGTATAGTATAACCTAAGCTTTAAAAAGTAAACAATATTAAAAATTCCTTTATTGCAAAAAAAAAAGCCTCAACTGGAACAATTTTAAAACAATATAGTCATTGAACTGTTAAAAACTAATATAAATTAGTTAACGCAAGAACAATAGTGAGTTTTCAGGGAATATGCAGCTAGTTTTTCAGCAAAATAACTTAATTTTTACGGGCAGATTTAAAAAAATACATCTGCATTTGGTAATGTAAGATACTTTAATTAAAAAAAAAAAGACTACATAAATTATGCTTGATGGAAATTAAAACATTTCAATTTAGAATTAATATTCAAAATAAGCAAAAAATTTTAAATTTGCTCAAGAATGCAACTTTTCTTTTAAATGCTAAAAAAACTCTATTCTATTTTTGTTTCATTACATTTTTTCAATTATGTACAATATATCTAAAATGAAAATGTGAAATATAACATTTTAAATAAAACGCTAATTATTAATTTTTCGAAGGAAACATGCATACTCTGTACCTCATTCTTAGCTGACTGAATGTAGTTTAATATTTTAATTCCATGATTTTCGTTGATAACAGCTCCAACTTTTGTGCTTTTATCATAAGGATTTCCAACTTTCAGTTCTTGAGTGGCAGACACTAATTCTTTAGTGAATTCATCCAGAATTGATTTATGAACAAAAACCCTTGTGCAGTTTGAACAAACCTAAACATAAAAAATATAAGTACGGAACATAACATTCATTAAATTTTGATAAAGATATTTACCTATCATTGAACTTTAATATCAATGGACTTTTAAATATCATGAAAACGGATACTTAAAAATCGAAATAATTTTTTTCAAGAAATAAATATATGATTGATTAACATGAAGTGAAACAGAAATTAATTAAATAATAACGATTAAATAACAGTATTATTAATTTGAACCTTTTTAATTTTATTAATTTTTAATTTGTGATTGATGAGTCTTTTATTTGAATGAAAATTTGTAAAATTGTGTTTTATTTTGTATTACATACAAAGTAAAATTTAACCATTATTTTAAATTTGCTCTAATTATTATTGATCTAAGATAATCATAAATTTTGGCAGTACTTATTATAAACCCAATTTTAGAAAAGAAACTCTCAGAAATAATTGCACTTTATAAAGCTTAAAATAATCAATGCACTTTGAATTTAGAATTTTTTTTAATATGAAAAGAACAAAAATTCTTATAATAATGGAATAACAATGTTTTTAATAGGGAAATGGAAAATCTCGAATGACTTTCTTAATAATAAAAGATAAGTTTTAGCAAACATTCTTACTCATTTTATATTGCATAGATTTAAACAAAAACATATTTTGAAAAAAAAATATGTTACTCTTTTTTTCAAGGGTTTGATATAAACTTATATAAAGGTCAATGACAAACCACTCTCACGCTATAAACATTGAAGGGTTAAAATTACTTCCAATAGTTATTATTTTTGTAACACACTATATTTGTGAACATATCAAGACTTAATTTCAAAACTTCAACAATTCAATTAAATTTTTTTACTAACCTCATTTCACCTTAAATCAAATTGTAAAAGTAAAATAATAATTTAAAATTGAACTAACAGCTCAAATGTTTAGGTATCCTCCACTGATTAAAAAAAAAGAACATATAAAACAAATAACTTACTTAAATATTTAATCTAAAGACATATGAACACTAACCTCACCTTGGGTAAAAAAATTTCCCAACAAAGTCGATTTCACAGCATTTTTAATGTTACAATCAGGGAAGACTAAAAGAGCCGATTTTCCTCCAAGCTCCATTGTCACTCTCTTCATGGTTTCTGCACATGACTTCACTATTTTTTGACCAGTCACAACACTTCCAGTAAATGTCAATTTAGCAATATCGGGATGATTACAGACTAACTCACCAGTTTCATAACCACCCTGTAGTTTAAAAAAATATTAATAACAAAGTTTTCTTCACTAATTGGTGTAGAATTTTTTTAGAATAAATGCAAAACAGTTAATTTTCAAAAACTTAATTTTTTTTAGCTTTAAAGGAGGTAAGCAGAACATACAGCTTATGAATGGTCAATGCAGTTCTTATATTGACCATTCAAGATATTTCTGATGCTAGTTAGGTAGTGTTTTACACTTAATTTTTAACTTTCAACCAAATTTTAATTTAAAAAAAACTTCAATTAATATAAAACATTTAATAGCTGTTTTTCAAGCTAATTTTAAAAAACTTTAAATAAAATACAGAAATTATAATTTAAATAGTGAAAAAGGTAGAGGTAATAATTCCACAAATCTTTTTGAGACAGAATTTTGATTAAGAAAATATTTTAAAGCAAAACATGTTTAAAATAAATGTAGCACAGATTTTATTTAAAAATTAAAGATGTAAGCAACTTACATTAAAAAAAAAGGAAAGAAAACTCTATACAGAGGAAGTAAGAAACCTAACATAATTTAACTTTATTAAAGAACATAAAATGTCTGAAAACTAAAATTTTTTTTTAAAAAATTCAAAAATCTAAAACTTTTGTCTTGTAACTTTTTAGATAAATTTATACTGTTCTTATGAAACTGAAGAAAATAAAGTTACTATTATTAAGTGATAAAAAAAGAAAATTTGTTCCAGATTTCGAAAACCTAAGTTTTTTTTCAGCAATAATTTTTTAAAAAAAGTTGAGCATCGAATGGAGTACCAAGAGGGTGGCAACATGTTGCAGACCAACTACACAAAAACTTTAAATCCTGGCAGTAGATTAATGACATTATTTTTATTTGATAAGTACTTAGCTTGCACTAAATTTTTTCTGATGAATAAAGGAATATTTAATAGGAAGAAATATTTAAAAAAAATTATTCTTGCATACATTAATCTAAAAATGAATTTGAAATATGAATTAAAATGTTTATGAGTATTAACAAAAAATAAATTTTTCATGAGTATTAACAAAAAATAAATTTTTCATGAGTATTAACAAAAAAACTATTTATGCATGCATTTAGATAAAAACATGGCTTGAAATTTTTAAGAGTATATATATATATATGGCTCCAAATCATTTCCAACTAATTTTATAAGGTTTTTACATCCCCTATATAGATAACATTAAACACTCGTTTTCAGAAGCATCTAAACATAAAGTTAGTTATTCTCATACCTCTGATAATACTGTGAGCCCCTAACTTTAAAGATTTGTTGAAATAATTCCTAAACCCTATTCCTACACAAAATATTTTTCAAAACAATCAAACCAAAAAGGTATTTTAAAAATTATTAAAATATAAAATCCATATAAATTGACACCACCTTTCACCCTTTTTTAATAGCTTATTTTGATCTTTTATTAGAATTTTGCAAGACTAAATAAATTTATGATTAGTTAATAAATTACTGGTTTTGGTTGGATCAGATTAGAATAAAATGCACAAGACATTCAACTGGCTGAAGTGCTTATAGAAAAGGAAATTAATTTACCTAAATTCATATTTATACAAAAGAACAACTATTACCTGCAGGATACTAATGGCTCCAACTGGCAAGCCAACTTCCGTTAAAATTTCAGCTAAAATGACAGACGTGATTGGTGTTAACTCAGATGGCTTGTATACAAATGTATTTCCACAAGCTAAAGCAGGAGCTGCTTTCCATGTCATAACTTGGAATGGATAATTCCATGCACCAATTCCTGCCACAACTCCCAGTGGCTCTCTTTGCACCACTGCAAAACTGTTATTGTTCAACTGGTGATGTGAACCTAAAAAGTAATTTTAACAGTTTAAAATATATCAGTATTTTTACATGAACTTTGAAACAAATAATTTAAAGCAAATTTTATAAATTACCACTAATAGTAGAAGCTATTCCACCAAAATAATCCAGTGTATCAGCACATCCAGATATATCAATCTTTGCTTCCCATAGTGGTTTTCCTGTATCTTCAACTTCATATTTTGCAATTTCATCTAATTTTTCCTGGAATTAAAACTAATAAATTAAACACACAGAAAACAAAAAACATTATATATAAGCAAGAGAATAATAAAATTAACTATACATTACAGAGTTCTACAACCTGTGGTTGGGTTGACTGGTTAATGTGAGGCCCTTTGTTATCCAACAAACTATTTATTGACAAAAATTACATAACTGAGATTTCATATACTACGTTGAAATTTTTAAAATGTTTTTAAAACTAACTTTAATAAACTTTAAAAAAGCACTGATTCTACAGGTCTAAAATATCAAAATGTAGGGCAACTAATTTTAGGTGTCAAATTTAAATAAACGAAATAATTTTTTCATTTTAGTAATACCTTTTTTAAAACTTCCTTTTATCAATGCATATTTTTCTTTAATCAAAGCATAAAATTGCTGTTTAAATATTAATAATGTAAATAACTTATATACATGTAAAAAAAAAAGAAGATTTTTACAGAAAAGGTATAACATCAGCTAGTTGAAATTTCTGATTCTGAAAAAGTCTAGATTACATAAATTTGGCAATTTAGTGAAAATGTTTGCGCACACGACAAGTATAGAATAATTAGAACATATATAATTTATACCTAGATAATTAATTCGTTATAAAACATGGTAAAGAATTAATTAGTAAAAGCTAATTCAGACTAAAACAAAGGTCAGCATTATTAAAGTTACTAAGATTATTAATTTTTTAAAAGAAAAGTCTAGATTTAGACTAAATTTGACAATTGGCGAAAAGACTAATTTTGAAAATTGAGAGAAAAGGTTTGCACACGTGGCAAGTACAGAATAATTAATACATACATAATTTAATCATAAGATAACTTTAGAAGGCACTTGGTTAATGGTAAATTTAAAATGCAAAAGAAATATTTATATTTAATAAAGATATGAATCCCTTGTGGCAGAATTTTTTTATCTCCGACAAAACTCTCTAGCACTGATATCATTCTAAAATATACTTTTAATAACAATAAAGGTATATGACACAAATTTAAAATAACAAAAGTGCAGTGCTTACAAAAAAAAAAAAAAAACTATATTTTTTTAAAAAATTAAGCATGTAATAATTTTTTATTCTATTATTATGGGCAATATTCTTGCATTTTGTTGGGGAGAGTAGAGAACACACAAATTATTTCCTTCTTCGCATTTTGTAAATAATCATCATTTAAAAAAAAAATTAAATATCTTGAAATCCGTAGTAATAATAGTCGAAAAGAAGATTGGCAACGAAATCACGTGAATCAGACTCCTCGAATGTGTGTTTTGTTTCGAGATTAGGTTGTTGTGATAAATAATATCATATAAAAAATATCGGATTTAAAAACTGTGGAGAAATCAATATCAATAACTGCCAACAATTCGATAAAATTATTGCCTTAAAAAGTAAATACTCAAACGACGATTCGAATTTTTCCATATTCATTGAAACATATCGGGATATTTAAAATCCATGTGAAAATCAATATCAGTAACTGCCGAAAATACAATTGAAACATTACATCAATTTACGATACTATTGGCGGAAATTGAGAGCATCAAAAAGTGATTATCTAAATGCATGATTCAAATATTACGTGTAAATTGTTCCAGAAAAGAAAAGTAAATTTTTTTTTGCTTTTCAAAAGAAAAGTCTTTTTGTAAGAACTCTAACATCTTCTGCTACAGGGTACGTATCCATTCTCAAAGATATTCTCCAAGGAGATATCAAGATGCCACTTCATGGTAAGAGCTCGTTCCTCGTCTAATACATTCAGGCAACAAAAACCTCTATATGAATGAATGAAGAGGAAAAAAGTTCTGTTGCTCTAACTTTTGCACCTGCATTGTTAATGGTCTCTGTTTATTAGTTTGTTGGTTGAGGGGAGCGATTATCCATGCGATTTAGTGATAAGGTAACAAAACCTTTCTGCTAACCGATCTCAACTTGAAGCTGACGTTGATAAAAATTAAAGTGCCGTAAAACTAGTGTAACAATAAAAATGAATAAAATACACTCATGAATATAACAATTATTAAATCCCTGGCTATATTACAACTTAATTATTATTAACAGTTGACTCAGAGTTCATTCTAGGCAGAAAAAAGAGCAGGGTGCAAAAGTTGAAAAAAAGGGCATTATTATTCTAAAAAGGCAATAATTTCTTTCTATGGGTCTTACACGCTCTATTAAAAAACATTGTCAATTTTTTTTTTTTTACTTTACTAAAAGTAGCAAAGCCATCATATTAATTACTAATTTTTATTAATAAATAAACATACATATATCAAGTTAATAAGCTAATCAGCTTAGTAATTTATTTAAAATGCAATGCATATATTAATAAAATAATAAATGTATGTTAAGTGTCTGCAGTTATAATTTAATAATTAAAATGATTAATAATAATTATGATTTGATGATAGTGTAGTAACTGCAAACTTTCAAAGACAAGTGCAACAAGGGGGTGTGATGGCTATTTTTCCTTTCCAATATAAATCTATGTATTGACAGCAATGACAAACTAAATAAAAAGAGTTGAAAATAACTAAAGTTAAAGAAATCCATTGAAGAGTTTGGGGAAAAAATAAAGAAGGGTGGAGGAAAGAAAGGGCAAAAAGGGTATGGAGTCTATTACATCAGGGCACTAATTTACTTCAGGGGCAACAGGGTGGATTCTTTTGACTAAAAGCACAGCAGGGTGCTGCGGCCTGTTTACCCTGCCTAGAATGAGCTCTGAGTTGACTGTATTACTCAACATATTAACAGGAGCAACTGACAAAAAACAGAAAATTAAAAAAAAAAAAAAAAGGTACATATTTTAACACAATCAAAAGAAAATGCATAGTTTTATTGTGATAGAAGTTAAATTGTAAGAAAAGGTTGAATTACTCTTATTTTTCTAGCAGCAGCAGATAAAACAAGGCCTCTTTCTCGAGGAGAAGTTTTAGACCATTTGCTGAAAGCACTTTTTGCACTTTTTACTGCATTATTTACATCTTCTTCACCAGTACACAATATATCAAACATCAGACTACCTAGAAAAAAAAAACGAAAAATTTAAATGTTTTTAAAATGTTGCTTAAATTTAAAGTAATTAATTCATTAAAAGTAATTAATTAATGAAAAGTAAATTTTTGCATTTAATAAACAACTAAAATGGGTGGGGTATCTGAACTGTTTTGTTTTCAAAGTAAATATTTGCCTCATATTGAGGATATCTCAGAAGTAATCAGGAAAGAGGTTTAACCGGTTCTATTACTTAATGAGCTCAGTTTTGTACATGTCTGAGGAAGGGAAAAACCTCATCACAAGTTTTTGTTTATATTCAAAGAAAAGATTAGGAAAGACAGGAAAAGATTATGATTAGATTTACATTTTGGATGTAAGCTTTTTTAACAGTTAACTTAGCAACATTATAAAATAAAAAGTTTAATAGTTGTCCGTTCCAATGACAGGGTAAACAATTCAAATATATGATGTAAAAATAAATAAATAATGCCTAGAAGCTCATACCTTTCATTAAACTATTGAACCCATAGTCTCCCGAGATTGGCAAGAATTTTTTAATGTACCTGTGAAAAACATTGAACTTTCAGGCCTATTATATTAAGTTTAATTTCTGAAAATTAAAACTATTCTTATTATATTTATTACTAAACAATAGTCTAGGTCATTTTTTTAAAGGTTTTTCAATTTTGTCTAGTTTCTGTATAATTTCTCCCAGCTGTCTGGAAAAAATAAGTTTCTTCAGGACAAAATGCTAATCCTGCTTTGATCTTTGTCACTTTAGGTACATTATTTTCTCTTAGCAATCTCAACACAAAAGTGAACTTGTTAGAAGATAATCTAAAACAATCAGCAATAATTATGGAGTAATATATTTTAGCATATGCTTAAAAAAAAAGAAGAAAAAAAAAAGGTATAATTCAGTATCATGGTTTTCAAAGTTGCCAAGACTTGGCGATTATTTTGGTGTTGATCATAATAAAGAAATATTTCCAAAAGAAATAAGTACCAGATGCCGGATTAATTTTTGGAATGCTACGGATGACAGCACGAGGTGAGATTCGTCGACCATTCAAATAGTTGAGAGGGGTCTCGATTAAGAGCTTAGAATCCATTGAAGAACGCCTTTGAAAAATGCTTCTTAGATTTCGTACAGCAAAACATAGGCTACTGTTCATCCTGCAAAAATAATAGTTATGATCTTATATTACATATCTACAGGTAGATACATGTAACAAAGTATTCATGAATATTATTTTTTCTTTAAACAATGAAAATTAAATAAATGACATAGCTGAATTGACTTGAACTGGCTAAATGGAAAAAAAAAAAAAAAATGATGAAAGATGATATACTTTTCTTCAGATTTTGAAAACTTTATCCATAGTCTTTAACAGCTTAACTGATTAAGAAGGATTACTAGAAAAGTGAATTTTACTAGATAAATAGTAAATGGATTAAGATCCCAACAGCAACATTCATTGTTTCATTTTTTAAAATAACATTTTGTTACCAAACAAGGTATATTAACAATTTGGAAATAATATAAAGTTAGTATGAAAAGCGTAAAAGCAAGTGACAGAAAAAGCAAAAAGGTAATTTATTTTTATCAAAAACTATAACATTCGAACCTTTATGTAGATCATTCAATTATTAAAAGAGATTTCTAAACGAAAACTATTTAATAAGAGTATATTTAAATACAACAGGTTAAGAAATATGCTCTAAATACATTGATTACTTCGATAACACTAAAATAATTTCACTGAAATCATTCCCTAAAAATTCGTTGAATAATTTCACTAACTATATTTAAAAACAGCTGATTAAAAATTACGCTCTCAGTTTCATGCTACTTTGATCAAACTAGAACAATTTAGTCTTTTAGTATTAAGAATGAACAAATCTTAATTACTTCATATAAAATTAAAATAGATTTCTATCGTCAGCGCATAAAAATTTTAAAAAGATACACGGGTATAGAATTAAAATCTAAGAAACTATTCTATTATTTAAAATATTAAAGATTTCAAAGAATGTTCTTTACAAGTAAAGTCAAAGAAATGCTATGTTGATATTTAAAATTATTCGTGAAAAGCTATAATCTACTTATTACCCATTATCATAATCTTATCTTCTCTTAAGATTCACTGATACTCAAATTCTTGTGAGATATCAGCATGCTTGTTTATTTACTCGTTATTTATTTTGTTTACAGTGAGGACTTAAAGTTGAAGTGATTATATAAATACTTTAAAATTTCATGCTAGAGTTTCTCCTGGATTTTCATTTCAATATTTTATTTCAATATTTAAAAGGTAATATAATAAATGTCAGAAAAATTTTCAAAGTATAAAAATCTTTATATTTTAACAATTAAAGGGTAGCATTTAAACATCTCGGCTTTTTACATTGCTTGAATTGGGTGTTGAAAAAAAATCCGAAAGAAACTAAATGCTCAACTTTTAAGTTTGATTAGTTCGCCTCGATTTAATACTTTTTTTAACACATTATGAACGATATATAGTTTCAACGCTGTGACGTTATTATTCTAGTACTTATGTTAAAATATCTATTTACGTTTGTGTATGTTTTGATTTGATCGTGAGCGGAATTTGAGCGAAGTGAAATTGTTATATTAATATAATAATTGTTGAAGTAAATCTTTTGCTTTTATAAAATGGTAAAGTTATTTTGCTATTTTATCTGTGCATATAACTTTCTTTATCTTTACGGAATTAGAGCAATATTCACACGCTTGTTGAAGGAATTATGCTGTCTTTTTTAAAGACTTTTAAGCGTTTATGGGTTTATTTATCAATAAAATTTTGACTTTCGTTAATGTTTTCACCAAAACCGTTTACACAATAAATATTTAATTATGAGTATCTTTTTAAATTGTATGCTAATTTAGAAACACTAAACGTGGTTTTGTGAATGACTTCTTGAATGCGCATATTGGACATGAATTCTTATGTTAAAATTTATTATTCTAAAATAACTGTTACTTGGAAAATTATTCTTTAGTAGCCTGAGAATCTGTTGAAAAGTTATTAGTTTAGATAAAACTAACTAAATATGTGAAACTTCACTTCGCCTATTATTTACTCTATTTTCATTCACTACTATTTTATGTTCTTTACTACTATTAAAAATAGTAGCAATTTTAAAGATGTGATTGATGTATAATTATCTTAATTATAAATATTGTAACTTTTTTTTAAACCTTTTTTATATGTATGAGGTTTCATATTAGTGTAAATGATTTTTTTTTTCTCAAACAAGATTCAAATTATTTCTTTTCTTTTTGTACTCTATTTCCATTCACTATCTTAACAATGTTAAATATTTAATTTAGGGAACATTAACTTGAATTCAACTAGTCCATTTATTTCAAATTAATTTTGAAAAGACATTTTCAACTGTATGAGGCTTCATAATCAGCTAGATCTTTTACTGTTTCATCATCATTTGTGTTAAAGGTCAGATTGATTGAATTATCAACTCTAGCATAAATATTTCAATTTAATTTTGTAAGGAAAATGAGCATTTCCAAAGCTTTAAAACCAATTTAATCTTTTTTTTTTTTTACTATATTTTTATTCATCGTCTTATTTCTAAGTAATAATAATAAAGATCATATTGAGAAATTATTAGAATTCAATTGTTGCTTATTTACCAAGTTTTTTTTTAAAAAAATGACAAATTTTGAGTATATTAAGTACACTTCCCTTTTTTTACTGTACTTTATTGAAAATAACTGCAGTATTGAAGACTAGAAAAATAAGGAATGGGAAAAATACTACTTTACAGGCAAATTCTTTGGTTAAGTTAAACATGGACTTCAGTGCCAGGATATAAATATTAAAAATCAGATTTAAGGGATAATCAAAATTCAAATTGAGTATGCATATTTTAATTATATTTTAAAAAAAAGTTTAATATTTTCAAATATATAAGGTTCCCATGGCAGAATCGCAGCGACACGGCGGCATTGTTGCAGAACGTTTAATAGTACTTGCAGAAAGATTTTTCTTTTGAAAAGTAAAAAATTAAAGTTTTTTTTTCTGCAGAAATTTATGTGTAAAATTTGAATCATGCACATAGATAATTACTTTTTGGTATGATTAATTTACCCCGATAATATCGTAAATCAACGTAATGTTTTGATTGTATTTTCGGCAGTTTCATAATATTGATTTTCATGTGGTTTTTAAATATCCCGATATATTTTAAACAATATGGAAAATTCGAATCGTGCATTTGAGTATTTACTTTTTAAGTTAATGATTCCATCAATTTTTTGGCAGTTATTGTTATTGATTTCTTCATAGCTTAATATTTTTTGTATGATATTATTTATTACAACAACCTAATCTCGACGCGAAATACGGATTTGAGTAGCTATTTTTTGAGATGTCGCGTGATTTCGTCATCAATCTTTTTTCGGCAATTACTGCTCCGGATTTCAAGATTTTTGAATCATTTTTTATTGTGATGATAATTTACAAAATGAGATGAGGGAAATAATTAGTGCCCCCCCCAACAAAATGCGTGAATATCTTTCATAATATTAGAATGAAAAATTACTACATGTTCAATTAAAAAAATTTTTTTTTTTGTTAACACAGCGTGTTTGTTATTTTAAATTAGTAACATATATGCTTGTTATTATTAAAAGTATCTTGCAGAAAGATATTAGTGTTAGAGAGTTTTGTGGCAGATAGCTCGAAGAAGCTCTGCCACATGGCATAAGGTTTAATGACCAGTTTAATCTCCTTATATATGCTATTTTTTATTTATTGATGTACTTGTTAATATTTTGCATTTTCTCAGCATTTAAATTTTTTAAATTTGTTTTTCTTTGTTGTAACTTTTATATAAATTTTTTCTTTCTTATAGTTGTTTTACTCATTTTTCAAGTCTCTTGTGGGGAAAGATGTGGTAGTAGAGCTAAAAAATGACTTAAGGTAAGATAATATATTAGGCAAGATAATATATATATATTTTAATCACTGTTTCAGAATTACTAAGGTAACTATGTGAAAATTTCTATATCGGTACATCAACGACGTCAAAATGGTTTCTAAGTTTTGATGCCTGCTTGGTTGTCGTGTCCACGGACAGTCTATTAGATAGTACTGTAGGTGATCCATACAGCCTCAGCTATTTGCCAGTAGTTGTCGACATAGAGGTCCTCTTCTGGACAATCACTAATCTGCTGTATTGCAGCCATTATAGCTGGTCAGGAGAAAACATGATCAAGTTCCAGTTTAATGTTGAAGCAGTTTTTGCAGTTAGTGTATGCTCTGGCTCCACCCTCTTGAATTCTTACCCCCCTAAAGTGCCAAGTAGAATTTAGCACTTTAGTCTGATGTTGTTGAGTTTTCAGATCTAATGTTTCAATAAAATACTTATATTTTTTGATTTTGAAACTGAATTCGGGTCACAAAACACGGTAAAATGAAGAAATTCCTCATTTAATTGTCTCTCTCCTTCGGCTAAGACGTCAGCAGCCTCATTGCCATCTGTACCAACATGTGCTGCAAAACCATTAGATGTTGTTGGTTGATTTGGTCCAAAGCATCATGTATATTATGTGTAATTCTTGAAAGAACCTGTTTGGATTGCCTTTAAGGCAGCCCTAGAGTCACTGAAGATTATTATTCCACCAGCCTTCGCTGTATCCTCAAGGTTGTTATATATGTTTATAAAAAGAAGAAATGATTAATTAAAAGTCCTTTTACTCTTTCATGGAATTCTAAGATTCTGTAGAACATCATTTAATTATAATTTTCATCAGCATGGAAATCACATTGTTTACAGCTTTTATGAAACAAAATAATCAGCCTGATGGATATTAAATCTAAAAATTTATGTTCTGATCACTGAAAGTTACCTAATATGTTAAGCTTTTTAATTAATATTGCAATCAAAAACATTGCACTTAAATATTCTATATTTTAACCTTGTTTCAGGCTCTTAATTTATGTGTCAGTAATTTGTGGTAAAATTGTTCTTTGCATTTCTTTTTAGTATTTGTGGAACTCTGCATTCTGTTGATCAGTATTTGAATATTAAGTTAACTGAAATTAGTGTGACAGATCCTGAAAAATATCCTCATATGGTAATAATTTATTATATTTTTTTAAGAGTTATGACGATCTCTGAAATATGTGACTGTTACTGATAAAAAAAAAAAAAAATCTTAAATATGCTGTAATTTTGAATTGTATTTCAATTGTAAGCTATTTTTTGAAAAATAATCAAATATTGTCATCATTCATTGAGCCTTGATTTAACAAGAACCTGCATTTAATGAAGAAATTGGAATTCATATAATGTTAAGTTGTTGTAATTGGTCTAATGTAAATGTTTTCTCTCAACTGATTTTTCAATTTCAGAATCGTTTCCTTTTTTCCACGTGTGATTTATTTCTGTTGGTCTATAATTTTTCTTATTATTCTGCATTCAAAAGCTCTTAACATACTTTGATCTTAGTCTTAAGAGACTTATGTCTTAGATACATCAGTAACTATTGGTTTTATAGAAACAATATGTACTGCATCTTACATTTTTTTTTTTTTTTTTTAACAAACAAATATAACTTTATTGAGAACAAAAACACATAACATTTTCTTTATATGAGTTTACTTTTTAATCTTTCATGGGTCCCAATACAAAAGTCCTATCTCTCCCAAATATTTCAAGTGATGATGAAATAACAGTTAGTGAGATTTCAATTAGTATGGTTTTGCCACTACTTAAAAACTTTACTGCACAATTATCATATCTTATGTATGTATGCCAAATAGTTTAATTGAATAAAGTGGTAGCCAAAATCATAAGAAATAAAATTTATTAAATAAAAAATAAAATAGTCCACTTTTCATATTCAAGCAAAATTTCCATAAAATTAGAGTACTTAGTATGCAGGATATTTTATGACTGGCTTATAATGCTTTGTTTCCATTTTGTGTCTGTTTTTACAGTCAATCCTATATTTCATATTTATAAATTTTTTTTACCTAGATAAGTAAAAGTGTTTGTAACTTTGTTTTTATTATTCATAGCTTGTCTTCTTTCTTCAGATTTTGAGATGCTGATCTTAGTTTTTCCTTTCATTCTATTGAATTGAAAGATTTGTATGATATTAGTGAAAAAGCTTACTCTAGAATGCTAGTAATCTTTTTGTTTTTTAACAGAATATATTAATTTTTCATTCTTTTTATTATTTTTCAATCTATTTTTCATTTTGTTTTAATTATGCTGTATTTTAATTTTTTTATTAAATAATTTGGTTTAACTTCTCATATCTGAAACTTAAAGTTTTTAAATCAGAGAAAGAATTGTCAACAATACAAGTTTCAGATAATTTCTTACTGTGTTGGATTATGCTTAGCTTTAAATTCTGCATTACATCTCTTTTTCATAGTGTTTGAAATGTTTATAAATAAGATTTATCAGATGTTTAAATAGTTACATTCAAATAAAATTAATTGTTAAACATTTTAAAGAAAGATTTTACATTTTCTGCCTTTTCCTAAGTCTTGGGTCCTCATAAAGTTATATATTCATAGGAATATATTTTTAACTTTTATATTACTGTTTTTTTTACATATAACACAATACTTACCAAATAAAACAAATGCAATTACATCAATATTGATTTAATTTTATTGTCTGTTTAAGAATTTTTATTTGTTAAATTGTGTTCTCTCGTTTGTTTGTTTTATAAAATCTAATTGTGAATAATATTTATTTTTTCATAAAAAAATAAAATAAAACTTTAAAAATCTAATTTGATTTTGTTCTCGTGTTTAAAATATATATTGATCAATAGATTTTATGTAATATCTTTAGTTTTTGGAAAGTATAACACTAGAAATGTGATGTTTTGACATTTTCATTAATTAAATCATATTTCCCCCCCAATTTGTATAGTTTTGTGTATATTTCCATATATAAGACTAATAATTTACTTTTTTTTTTTAACATTGTGGGTACGAAAAATTGCTTTGAAAAATACAATGTTTATATATTTGTTAAAATAGGAAAATATATTTATTTATTTGCTGTTTTCAATAATTAAGCTGTGTACTTGAATCACATAGGCTGATGCAACCCATGAATTAATTTTAATTCTTTCCAATTGATGTAAATTGTTATTGGTGATTTATATGTAAATGTTATTGGTGATTTATATAGTTTTGCATATACTGAAACATACATATAAAAGACTAACTATCTTCAATTAACATGTTGACTGTGATAATTTGATTTGAAAATTTAATTCATGTATTTATTTGAAATTCCCTTATTTTTTCAGCTCTCAGTAAAGAATTGTTTTATTAGAGGATCTGTGGTGAGGTATGTCCAACTTCCAGCCGATGAAGTTGACACACAACTGCTTCAAGATGCTGCAAGGAAAGAAGCTGCTCAAAGCAAACAATGATATAGCATTATAATTAAGTCTCATCTTTTTTCCTCATTCTCTTTTGTGTATAAAATCATCATTTTGTAAGTTACAAAATAAACAAATTTTGTTATTATTAGTATTTTTCCCGTTATCTCATTGCAAAGTCTTATTGCTGTTTCTTCTTCGTTTTTGCATTGTTAAGTTAGAAACATTGGTAAATTAGAAACATTGGTTAGACAATAAAACTTTCATTGCTAAATTAGAAACATTTCTAAATTAGAATTTGCATTGTGCTAAATTGCATTGTTAAATTAGAAACATTGTTTAGACAGTAAAACTTCCATTTCACTAAAATTGGACGTTAGGGGTCATTCAAATATTAGGTAAACATGTTTTTTGCAATTTTAAACTCCCTTCCTTAGTTGTCAACAAAAATAAGTACATATGAAAGTCGCAAGTACCTCTTTTAGGGCGCGTAACGTTTTTAAAAAGTGCTTAAAGGTGCTTATTTTAGATTTACAATATTTAAAAGCCCTTAAAGGTGCCTTTTTTATTCGGAGTTTTATAAAAAGTGCCTAATTTTCTATTTTTTAAAAGGAGATTTTTCTTTGTCTTGTCGATTGTTGTCATAAATTACAAAAAGAGCACGATTTTCACTATTTTTTCTGCAATATTCATCAGAAATTAGTTATTTTATCATGATTATGTAAAGTGTTTAGAAATGTTTTTGCATTTTGTTCATTTAATGTTTATAAATAAAGAACTTTAAACAATAGAAACAAATAATTTTTGTTACTGCACCTATCCTATTTATGATTTTTTTTTTTTTTTTGGTAAATGCTTATTTTTTGTAAAAAAATCTGCTACACATGTCTTTGTATTTTTGTTGCTTTGACTTATGCAGTAGTACTCAAATTTTAGGAATAAACTCAAATAAACGCTGAAACTTTGTATAAGACAAAACTTATGGTTCTGTTCATTTAATAAAATTTGAAATAGAATATTCTTCAGGAATCTTTTGTAGTTCCCTTCTGTGATTAAAATTCTTAAGCTCTGAGATTAACTCCTAGATTAATTTTTTTTTCGTAATTGTTTTCCTCCAAATTTTAAACTTTTTTGAAATGTAAATTTTTCTCTTTTTTTTATTGCTTTTCTTTTCATTAAAAAAAAAATTAAAATTTTGCGATTTTAATATCTTGCATAAACATAGCTCATAAAATATTTATTGCAGTTAAATATCAGAAATATTTATTTAAAATCTTTATTTTGTTAACTTTAAAAAATATATTTGATGAGTCTGATGTATAAGCAGTGGTTTAATTTCTGAGAAAAATTTTGTTATATTTTTATGAGATTTATAAAATTAAAACAAAGATTTTCTTGCTTTAGTGATAGGATGTAAAAATAAAAATTTTGAAATTCAGTGTGAACAACTAATAAGTACATATTACTTGTGGTTACAACTTTACATAGGAATAACAATTTTAATATTCTATATATTTTAATTCTTTGAAACTGATTCTTGCATGCATAAAATGTTTTTTGAACCTATATTTAATGTATTGGTACATTTTAATTAAAAAAAAAATTTATGTTCAAAATAATGCTAAGTAAATTTTTTAGCAGATTTTTTAATATTGTGTTTACACTAGGTCCTTCTCTACTCATTAATTTATATTTTATTCAATAAGTATATTTAAAAGCCGTTTTTTCTTTAAAGTTTTTTGTTTTAATTGTGGTGTATTGTAAATTTATGAATATTAAAATTATCAATTAAGAATTCCCTCCCCAGAAAAATTTTCTGACTGCAACGTTGATTGCCTTTTTTTCAGTTTTTTTTGACTATGTGACTCAGACTTTGTATTAAATTACAAATGAAATCCATTTAAATAAATCGTTTGAAAGGTAAAGGTGATTCTGTTTCAAAGTGATTGCAATTCAGTCCCTGAAAGCAACCCTTAAAGGCAACCTTGTGACGGAATTTTCTTTTTATCGTCACAAAAATGTTTGTACTAAAAACATTTTTTCAATAAAGCAAAAATATTGCAGTTTCAAACCTTTCATCCTAAAAGGATTAAAAAATATATTTTTTAAACCTTTTTTAAAAAGTATTGTCACTTAAGTAAAATGTTCACTTAGGTCCATAATAACGTTTTAGCTTACGTCACAGTAGCGATAGGATCAAATTGCAGTGTCTGTTAAAATTTCCAGACAAGGTGGATTTTAGCTGAGCGTACAGGACGTTGCGAAAAGAAACATTATAATTACCTAGATTTAAGATTATTTTCATTTTGAGGCTAGCTATATTAATGAACTTTTTCACGTTTGAAAACCCTAAGTTGACCTCAATATAAGGTTTTTTATATAGAAGGTTGTTTTTCAAGGTTTTAGATTAGGGTAACATGTGTAAAATAGAGCAGATTGTCACAGATCTTATTTTGAGGTTAGAAGGTTTACACGTAGACCTCATAACAAACCTTTTTAGGTTTACATTACAAGGTTTTTGCTGAGTAAAAATAAACCTTATTTTGCTATCTAGGAGTGTATCTAAAAACTAGCGAAGAAAGGACTCTCATAATCCCATTAAAGTGACTAATTTGCTATACTGATATTTTTTTATATTTATTGAATAATTAATTTAGTTCGCTTGAATTACTCTAATAAAATTTTTTTTTTCCCTGTTGCATAAGATTTTTTTTAAAGAGATCTTAGATAATTCCGTACCACTGATTTCAAATCTGCAGTCCTTTCCTCTCTACAGACTACAGTTTTTTTTTTAAAGTACATTTCTAGTCTATTTTTTATCGAAATATACCAACTTAAAAACATGTCATGTTGGGTCCCAAATATGTTCCAACATCACATCATCAGGAATAAAAATGCATAGGAACCCATGTCTGGCAGCGTCATCATACGCCACTAGGGACGCTTGAATAATATGAACTGTTTCTTCGTATGCTTTTGAACGGGTAATAATAGGGAAAGTCTCTTACCGGCATATGGCATGGGTTGCTATCCAATTTTAATCTTGATGATGCGCCTAACTTCCTTTGAAGTTTGCTGCAACATTGACGCAATTCCGTCATATGTAATATTTTTAAACTTATACATCTCAACCAAAAATAGACTGAAAATGTCATTTAAAAAAAATCTGTAGCTTCAGGAGCAAAAATTAATTTCAAATTTGAAATCCCCTCCCCTGGATTAGGCAATATCAAATATTTGTAGAAATGCAACAAAAAAATTGTTCCCAAGTGTAATTAGTTTCTCTATATATTAATAAATCGTAATGATCTTGTGTAACACTGCATTTTGTTTTGTTGCGTAAAAACTATAAGTTTTAGAAACTTTAAATGACAGAAGTGAAAATGAAAGTGAATGAAGTGAAAGTGAATTTACTCTGGGTACATTGAAATAAAAAAAAAAATTAACATTTGATTATTAGATGAAGAAATATAAACTATTAAACTTGTAGGGACAAAAAACATTCAGGCCCCTAGAATGCAACTGCATAGTTAAAATTAAGTATACTGAATGGGCTATAGTATTTGTTTATGAACTTAAGAGTTTTTTTTGAAATTCCAATTTTAGTTGAGTTATTGCAATTTTAAGTGCTTTTTTTTGAGAATTCTCACTTTTTTCTGCCTACATTACATTTTTCTCTGCTTGCACATTTAGAAACTTAAAATACAACAAGGAAATATAAAACAAATTATGATTCAACAATTAGTTGGAGAATTGTTAAACTTGAAGGGTAAAATGCCACATGTTTGGTCGATTTGTAGCCCAGTGAAATGCAATTACTGATTAAAAATTTGGCGTGCTCATAGAAATCAAAGAAAAGACTTTTATATTATTACGTGATATTAACGAATTTTGTTTCGAAATTCTTATTTGTAAACTGATTTCTCAAATTTAAGTGTTTTCTCTTCTTTGTTTTTCCCCCAACTTTTTTGCTTTAAATATTAATTGTCCATTGTTGTACAAATTTAATTTTCCCACACGAGGTCTTTATTTTATAAACTCGTGCTCGAGATGTCAATTAGAATTAGCAAAAAGAAAATAGAGTGAGCAAAAGAGATTAAATGATTACGTATGTTTCCAGATATAAATTTTAATATTTAGAGTGAAATTTTTTTAAAAATAAAGAGCATTCGGTATTTAAATTCTTACAAGTTTCAGCAATGCGTAAAATTACTCTTCACATTAGAACCTCAATATATATTCATTAGATTAAAAATTTTTTTTATTTTTTTTAGTACAAATGATTATTTTTTAAATCTATTTAATTGTCTATTTCGTTAGGGTGAACATATTAATAAAATGTTCATGCATAAAGCTACAATAATTGTATATTTTGAAAACAAAATCTTATGCGTTTTAGTGGAAAGTATTGAGGTCCAAGGAGAAAAATAAATCTGAATATAGTGCATATAAATGTTTTGAGTTTTTAAAGAGAGAAATCTGATTCTCGAAATAATGAAAAGGGATAATGAATCATAATAGGTTAGGAACCACTGCTCTGTAAGATAGGGGTCTGGATATCTGAATGGTCAATTTTTACGGTGAATATTCACACCACCCAGTAAGCTGCCGATTTGATTAGTACTCCATGCCCGCGCGTACTACTGTTGTCATCTATTAAAATAAAATCCCGGCCAATTACATCCATGAAAAGGCGTTCTAGTACTCTAAAACTTCATACTAGTACATCACACTAATATAAATGTCTCTTTAATTGACATGAGGAGATGTATTGCCATCCTATAAATCGATCACAGTGTGGTGTGGGCATACATCATATTGAATGGTTGCTGCCCCATCTATTTATTTGCAGAAGCAGTTAAACTGATGCGCGGTATATTTATATAAATTATTATAACCGTCACTGAACAGCTGACCCAATGCTGGATTTACGACTAATAATGTTCAACTCTGTAGCCTTGTAATTTTGAACCCAATCCAGAAAATAAGGGAACTCCTGGATCAAGTATTTGGAGAAAGTAACCTTCTTGGAGGACTTTTTGATGGAACTAACCCTCATTTGCGCTACATGGAGAGAAAAACCTCCCACGGTTAGCCTGACGACAAGGGGACTCTAACCCATGATTCCGTCTACAGTTACGGTTATTTTACGTTAAGCTCTGTGTCGGTGCAAACCGGGTGCGGAATTCGTATCAACCAGTCATCGCGGGGATTCGAACCCGGGCCACCTCATTGGAAGGCAAGCTCTCTATCCCCTGAGCCACGACGACTCGATGTGAGGTATATAGGAGTGAAGTCTTATAGCTCTATGATCGCCTCGTGTGTTGTGCTCAGGACTTTATTTAAATCGATGACAACACTTATTCAAGCAGAGCTAATTTGGTCGATGAATTTGAGATTCAGATCTCTAGACCTCAACCCTCAAAAAATTTAAAAAAAAAAAAAAAAAAAAAAAAAAAATCAACGTTCCATTAGAAATTAAAAAAAAAGTGCTGTAAAAATAAAGCTTGTTTGAGAAGGATTTTTGCAGTAAAAAAAATTGTTTATATTTTATCCAAGGATATATACATTACATTCTAATATTTAGGTGATACGTATATTTTTTTATGATAAAACTGCATGACATTTCTAAAATAAAATAGTAACTTAGCTTTAAACGAGTTGTAAGCTTTAAACTCAAATTAGTTACCTCAATTTAGTTTTTTTTATAGTAGTGACGATGCTGCCACTGAATTAAAATAAGTAATAAATGTGACACAAAAAAACATTCTTCTAGATTTCGAAAGACAATTATGAACTCACGTTGTTGAAAGAATAGGAATCCCTACCATATCTTTCTATATTTGCTGAATATATTAAGTTGTAATCACTGTCATTTTCTTTGCAATTTCGAAACTGGGTATTCTATAACTAGTGACATAAAAGCGAAGGGCAAAATATGATGAAACCCGTCATTGGGTTAAAAAAAAAATTACCAATTCATTCGTTCCTGAGATAATGACGATAATTACTCGCGCTGCACTGTAGGATCCCAATGGGAAAGAAAATGACTCAAGAAAGAATATGAATAAGTTCTTTTTTCGAGATATTTTTTTGTTCTTTTTTTTATGTAATTAGAATTTCTTATGGGATTGTATGCTCAGTTCACTTCAAGAACGCTCCTTCGGAACAAAAGGAAGGAAATTTCAATTCGGATAATTAAATATATATTCATTTTAGCAAATACTGTTTGAATGAAAACGATTTATTTATTAATTACGTTTTATATTTCTTTGAATGACTGTTTTTGTAATGTCGAAACGTCTGTTTAGAACAACAACTTTTCATCGGATTGGAAATATTTGGATTTGCATTTTTCTTTCTTTGTTTTTATTAATTTACTTCCGGATCGGTGAGAATGATAACTTGAAATCCAAATTTTGACCACTCTCCTGACTAGCCAGACTATTTTAAATTGAAACTGATTTTTCTTTACTGATTTGAACTGATTATTCTACTGAATCTCTACTTGTGATCCGGATCGCTACACGCCGAATTTATTGTAGTTTTGTTGACAAACAAAACGCTAACAAACAAAATTCAGATCACTCTGACAAATTAGAGTGTTCTAATCTCAACTGGTGTTTGATGCCTTAATTACGATAAAAGTTTCAATCGTTTTCTGATCAACACAAGCAGAATTCATCGTTGTTTCATTCAAAATTTCGGCCAAAAGTGAAATTTTTATATTAAACTGTTCCTTAATATTGTTTTCATACAGTTTCTTCACGCGTTTCTGGAATTTCTATTTGATAACTTCACAATGCACAGAAATACCTCATTGCCCACATCGTGGTTTTTGAACTATTTGAAAATAAGGCGTATAATCATATTGCCCCAATCCCTTCAATTAATGAGGTGTACGTTGCTCAAAAAAGGGAACACTTTTAATAACTTTTCATCGAATGGTTGTATTTTCACGTACTAAGACTCAATCTTTATGTCTAACTTACAAATTGCTATTAAGGACATTAAACATCTAATTAAGCACTGTCCAAGATTCCGGGCACTTCGTGGAACCCACATGAATAACTGCGAAGAGGAACATCAATTCTTTGCCATATTGACCTGCAGGAAAATTGTGACTTAAATTATTAAACAAACCCTCGAGGACATTTTAGCCCCAGATCAACTGACCTCAGTCATGAACCAACAATAGAGCATGTCATCATAAATTTTTTAACTAATAAACTTTTAACCTTATATTTCCAAATTTTATCTGCTTTTGATTTTAGACTTCATCGACTTCTAGTCAGACTTTTACTTTTAGACATTTACTCTTAGGACTAGTAGCTTTCATTGATTTTAGTTTTGAGATTTTTTGTCTCTTGTTTCCTTATATAATTCTCGACATTTACACCGGCGCTATTGGATTTCATTGCCTTTAAAACATGTTTTTAATTGTCAAGTGTTATAGATAATCCACTTTTAACTGATCACCACCACTGTCATTTGGCAAGATTTTACTGTAATTTTAGTTTTTAGAGACATTTTTATTGCAATAATTTTATTTTTATCTTCGTATACCCCCCTGGGGTGGGTAGGAGTTCAACCTATCTTACAAATTGCAATTAATTACTGCACATTATATTTTAAGTTGCAAAATCTCACACGAAAACGCACTTTCTCTGAATAAACATACTAAAAGACTAAAAACTAGTACCTTTTCTTCGACGGATGCGGATTTCTGACCTCCGAGATAAAGGACTTTTTATACAGCTTATTGCTCTATTTCTCCAAGTCCTTTAATCAAAGACCATTAAATTGCTATAGCTCCATAAACTACATCACACACAACAAAAGGAGTATTACTTTAATTATTTAATAGTATTTAATATTCAAATAATTAACAAAATTTTAAAAGCAAAACTGTTTGTCCTACTGCGCAGTGATTGCTTTGTCCATCACTTGTTGACAAACGAAATTTGATCATTCCTCAAATCCAGGAAAGCTTTGTCATCAAGTGGTAAAGATAGATTTGATTCAAATAAATCATAAGTGATATCACTCTCAACTTTAATTATTTATCTTTAGGTAATTGACAATATTTAAAAAAATAAAAAAAACTAATCTTCCGAGAGAGCAGCTGCTGTGATTACTTTGTCCATCACTCTGCTGACGTTGTTGGCAAACGAAATTTGATCACTCCTAAACTCTTCAGCAGCTTTTTCATTCAATGGATCATCTGGATTGGGATCGAGCAGAAGATGCAGCAATCCAAAAACGATGGCGTTCAGATCAAGGATAGGATTCCAGTCCTCTCTCAAAATGTTGAGGCACACATTGCCCTCTGTATCGATATTAGGGTGGTAGATATCAGTCATACACCGAACCTTGAAACGAAAATCAGGTATATTTATGTACTCTATATTAGGGTGATAGAAATCAGTCATACATCATGCATATGTAACTATATTAGGGTGGTAGATTTGAGTCATACATTGAACCTTAAAACGAAATAACAGTTATATTTATGTACTCGATATTAGGGTGATAGATATAAGTCATACATCATGCATATGTAACTATATTAGGGTGGTAGATTTGAGTCATACATTGAACTTTGAAACGAAATAACAGTTATATTTGTGTACTCGATATTAGGGTGATAGATATAAGTCATACATCTTACATTAAATCGTGAAAGGAAATAACAGTTATGTCTATAGAAGTAACAGATATTAAATTCAAGAACACAGTATAAGGAGTAGGCTATTGCCATTTAATTTAACACAGACAACACATGATTCGTATCGGATTTGCAGCTATATCATTGTTTAGCCCCTTAGGCAAGGAAATTCCTGATTTAATTATTAGAATAAACTAGTCCTCAGTGATATCTATACTAATCTTCATTGATATTTCGTTAAAATACTCATTTTTGTTACGTAAGAGAGAAACCACTGAAGCCACCTTCTTTCGTTGGTCCGATGGCAAGGTGGCTCTAACTCGTGCTCCGTAAACCACTTGGGATATTTTTCGTCAGCACTGCGTTTGGTGCGAACCAGTAAGCCATTGTTTAAAAATGATAGGCATTGGTATAAGCAGAGTGTTCTTAATATAGAGAGGACTTATGTCAATATATTATTCTTGTATATAAGAATTTGATATGCTATGTTTTCAAATTGTTCAAGTAATTGCTATTTTAAAAGAGGTTTGATAAATAAATAAAAATAAAACATCTTAATTTCATTAGGACAATAGTTATAAGGTTCTATATTTAAACAATATTAACCATTTCCGATACAGCAAATTTTGATTGAAAATTTTAATCTGGCAAGAAATTTGCAAATGTGGCCATGGACAATATATTTTAAGTGAAGTGATATACTTTCGCTCATTGTTGTTCAAAAAATTGAATTTAAGAAATTAATTATTTGAAAATTGCTAAACTTTTAAAAGCAATTATTTTTACATTTCTACTGGTTTATATTTATAACATTTGTTGAGTTAGTGTCGCCGAACAAGGTACTCTGCACCGGAAAGGGTAAAGAAACAATTTTATGTAAAAATATGACTATAAAAAATATGGATAAACACTATGTTTCTCGAAATTCCTTGCATGTTTTTAAGAAACTTCGTTAAAAGAAAATTTAAAAAAAAACCATTTACATTAAAGGTCCGCATAAATTGTGAGAAGAAAAGCATGAAAGTGTTAAAAAAAAAACAAACAAGCATAGCTTTTTTGGGTACTATCAAAAGCCATTTTGCATGCATTTACGGCTCCTTATCGAAACTCAATTTCCTGCAATCTGTAATATGGTACTGGTGATGGTAATTATAGTATCGAAGAAGCTGTCTATTATTTAATCTTATTGATTATAATTTATGATTTGCATAACGTCTTTACGTTACTTCAACATTATCATATTTATATTCATCCACATATGGATAGCATTTACTTTCACGCTTGAAGTTTATTAACGTTCTTTTTCTTCTCAGGAAACTGTGAAAATCCGATTACTTTAGAAATTATATAAGGAACTTATATTAGGTACCTATTATACCAGCACTATCACAGCATTTATTACCATTATACCAGTAGTACTTACTTCCACAGCTAATTAAGCATCTTTGGAGTAAATAAAAGCTTGAGGATTTTCTTATGACCTCTCACCTCACGCTATATATCGAAGTGAAATAACTGACAATTAGTGATTTAATTTTCTTACTCAAAGTGAACCAAGGAACTTTTCGCATGCAAATCCCGTCAAGCCATCGTTTTTTTTTCTCTGTTTTTGGCAATACCTTGGGAATACTTCAACAAGTGGCCAAAACAAAATAGCCGTCACTCAAAAGAAAAAAAAATTGCAAACGTTTATCAATACGAAAAAAAAGGTAAAAATATACTTGAGGTTGCACCTTGGCGCAATTGGTGACTTATGTTTGGTATGCCATTCCTGTTTGCGCGGAACAAAATGGTAACAGGAATGGCAGCCAAAACATAATGATATTTCAATAAAACATAGGTAAATTTCAACAAAACATCGGCCAAAACTTCATAAAATCGCCCAGCTTGGCGATTAACCGTGATCACAACTTGGCGAGAATCGAAAAGTATCTCGATTAAAAGACATTATCCCATACCTTTGGAGGATCATAAGGATATTCAGGTGACACTCTGAAAATAAAATCATGAGCGGCGTGTTTGTAGAATCCTTCATCCGGTGTTATTTTCAACTGGAAATTAAACAAGTCATCAGGATCTGGAAAAGCAATTGAACAAATTTCTGAAGATTGAAGTGCGTTAACATCTTTCGTTAATCTAATTAACGCTGAAGAGCAACATTTCTTAGTCGCATCGTTCTTTTCCTGTTTTCTTTTCTTTTTAATTGCAGGGAATCTTATCATAGTTTTTTTTTAAAAATTAAATTTAACTAACAAATCCCTTGCGATGTACAATAAATTTTTGTACATTTATTTGATTTAGGCAAGATGTGTCTCAAAACCTCATACTGTCTGTTTGTCTGAAGTCGAGTGTTACCGAATCAAAATCTTGTGTAAAATAAATAATGCTCATGACTGCCAACAGATATCAATGACTACACATTGTCCAACTATTCATAACGATATTCACAGGAGAATTTAGTATAGAAAATATGACTGAACCAAGAAATCTAAAAGAAAGAGTCCCACACGCTCCATAGCATTGTTCAACTCAAGAGTAAACTCTTGAGTACCCAGTTCTTAGTAAGTGGTAAAAAGTTGCAAGTGCTTACGTGTCGGATTTTAGCGGTGGTAAATGGTAAGAAAAGCTTAATAGAACAAACGATGTATTGTTTCTGATGCATGAGACTAAGTACGAGATGATAAGATTCATGGTTTAGAAGTTATAATGGTTTAATGCATAAAAACTGCAATATTCAAGATGTTCCTATTTTTGCATCTGACATTGCTTTCTAGACAAGTTAAGTATTGTTTCCTACATTAAATCGAATGAGACTTAACCCTTTAACACAGATGGGACACCGGTGCCACTTTTATATCGATATTTTTCTGACGGTCTAGTTAGAAATAAAAATATAATTTGTGTTTCTTTAATTATAAGAAACAGTCTAATAACAATTAAAATAATCTTCTAGATTTGTGGTGCGCAAGGTCAATAAAATCACACGCATCAATGTTTATTTTTTATGAATGTAACAGCGTAAACAACGTAACTCTATTTACAATTATGATGTTCGACATGTTTTAATATTAAAGATATAACTAATTGTAACATGTAACATACATAATTGTAACATGTATTTTCCACATTAATGATGTTAAAACTGATGTTTAATGTATTTTAAAACTGAAATTAATATAATTGCAATTAATATATTTATAATTAATATAATTATAATTAATATAATTATAATTAACGTAATTATAATTAATATAATTATAATTAATATAATTGTAATCAATATAATTATAATTAATATAATTATATTTAATACGCTTATAACTATATATTAACTTATAGATATCAGTGAATATTAAATGTTATGCTGTCGTCAATTTACTTTGTATTTATTCTTCCAAAATCGCATACTGTAGGAAAACTAAAAAACCTTCCCTATCAGAATTATATTTGTACTAAAGTATATTTGTATAATTAATTATACAAATATGAAATATATAATATTAAATTATATTTGTACTAAAGTATATTTATATAATTAATTATACAAATATAAACTATATTATATAAAATTATATTTGTACTAAAATATTGTAAAAATTTATCATCAATGAATTTTGTAAATTAAAGAAATTTCAATGATGTATAACAGTTTCTCTTAAATCTAAACAACAGAAAATAACTGAAAGTAAGAAAAATTATTTCTGTGAAGGGAACCGTGTTCGGAAGATTTTATCTTTAACGCAGAGAAAGACACATACAGGGATGTTTCATGTAGTATTTCATAATCATAAATTATTAAAATGCTAGCTATAATATTTTTAACTTATGTTGCCCTACATTAATACAAAAGAATGAATAAAATATTAAAAAAAGCTGTCTTCCTATTCGATACAATTTTGTTATTTATTATGAAATTTGTTATATTTAATCTTGTTTTTGTAAAATTAATGAATTTTATAAATGTCGGTAATTCTAGTGATAAAAGCAATTTAGAAATAGTTTTAGATACATGTGTCAACAGATATACTATTAGCTATTAACACTATTAACTAATTGCACTATTAGCTAGTTAAATGTTTTTTTTAAATCTTTTTTGACGAACGAAAAGAATAAAAAAGTGAAGAAGAAGAAAAAGATAAACTTAATTGTTTGGAAACAACTTATGTCATGCAAGTTGCAACATCCACCTCTTAAATCACGATCATTAGAAACAGCTGTAGCCAAACAATGTTAAAATCCATGCCAAAATGCTTTTCGCTTTCCAAACAAAATAGACAAACAAGTAAACTTTTCAGAAATCTAAAAATAGATCACCGAGGCCAAGGACTCACAGGTGAAAATCTTTAAAATAAATAATTTTTAAGTAAAAGTTTAGCTGCCACTTAAATATTAAAAATTTATTTTACATTATTTTTAAAACTCTTTGGAAAAATAGTTACCGTACATCTTAAAAAGTGCTCTAGCCTGTAAGAGTATTTCATGTAAGACATTAAACAACTAATAAGATTGAAACAATGCTCTCCCAACACCAATATAGATTCAAATTTAAATATGTAGAATATGTTACTCTAATCATGTTTACTGGCCGGGATAGTCTGGTTGGTAGGGCGCTGGACTCACGTTAGTAANGCTCAGCGTGAGCAGTCGGTCCAACGCAGACATTATCTCTCATTGCGCATGCGTTTAATAACGTAAACAAATATTTATTTTGAATTTGTATTGATTTTGTTATGGTCGACCAGTGTTCTAGAGAACAAATAATGACTTGGTCCAAGAAAAAACACATTATAGCTGAGTTAAATGAGGAGTGCTATGTTTAATAAGAAGCTACGTTTAATGTCAAAATCAAAATTTTGGCTAATTTCAATGTGCTGTTGGATGTTGTCCGCCATTGCTTCTGTGGTTAACGTCACGTTGTAATCCAACTGCAGTTGAGTTGGACGGCAATTGTAGTTCCAGATGAGCGTTCGATGACGTATACTATCAAACTCACAAATGGGCCAATCAGAGGTTAGCGCTGATTTCCAGCTGACGGCGTCCTGTCCTAAGAAACCAGGCCTTAAAAAAGTGCTCTAGCCTGTAAGTGTATTTCATGTAGGACATTAAACAACTAATAAGAATGAAACAATGCTCTCCCAACACCAATATAGATTCAAATTTAAATATGTAGAATATGTTACTCTAATCATGTTTACTGGCCGGGATATAGTCTGGTTGGTAGGGCGCTGGATTCACGTTAATAAGAGCGGGAGTTCAAATTCAGCCGACTGAAGACTCCCCGTGTAGAAAATGATGACAGGTGCAAGTTAAATCTGTTGGGTCAGAAAGTTCCCACAACAAATTATACCTCTGGGGGTACTGAATTGGCGATTGGTCGTTCGCTGGTTTAGGTCAAAATTACGATCGATGGATGTATGAATGGATCCGTCCTGTTAACGGGTGTGACGAATGGATGAGGCGGAAGTCGAATTATTGGCCACAGATGGCGCCACTGGAGAACAAAACCAATTGCCTTAATAGCCTACGACGATGTCAACTATGAACTTCATGTTTAATCTTAACTTTTTAGACATTAGGTTTCTGGTAGTGGCATATGTTGCTTTATATATTCTTGATTTATTCTTGACATTATCTAAGCAATTTGCTGGTGGACTAGGATAATATGCTAAAGTACCAAAAAAGTATTTCATTTCTCAAATTATTCAAGTAATCTTCATAATTACTTATAAATAAACTTCACATTACCAACTCATTGAAGTGAAAATCGAAAAGAAATTATTTTAAGATCTTCGCTTAAACAAAAGCATAAATTAACCTTATGTTTAATAAATTATTTAAATAATCAAGTTCAATCATCAGAGCCGCGATGGATCAGGGGATAGAACGTTAATTAATCATCAATCTGTTCTCATTCCAATGAAGTGAACCTGGTTCGAATCCCAGCTATAGCTGGTCGGAACGAATCCGCATCCGGTTTGCGCCGACCACAATGCTGCCGTGAAATATCCTCAGTGGTAGACGGATCATGGGTTAGAATCCCTTTGTCGTCAGGCTAACAGTGGGAGGTTATCGTGGTCTTCCTCTCCATATAACGCAAATGCGGGTTAGTTCCATCGAAAAGTCCTTCACGTAATCAAATTTCTTCCACTACTTGATCCAGCAGTTCCCTTGTTTTCTGGATTGGGTTGAAAATTACAAGGCTACGGAGATGAATATTGGTAGTCGTAAACCCATAAATTCGGTCGGCTGTTCAACGACAGTTATAAAATCAAGTAATCAACACATTAAATTAATCATCAATCTGTGTAAAAAAAACTGTCGTTTTATTAAAAATGCTTTATTTGATAAAGAACCAAATGGCTTAAAATATTATTACAATCTATGAAATTAGCATCAATAACCAATCATGACCAAGCACCTAGCCCCATTTTTAGGGCTTTATCTTTCAACGGATATGGTAGGAACCCAACGAATTTTGATGTTGGACAGATGGCGTGGACAGCGCTCTCCAAACTTTCACATCACAACCACGAAGAGCACTTTCAGCTATGACAGAGTTAACGTGCACTTTTCTGCATACACACGCCGGCTATTTTCTCGGCTGCCAGGATCGAACTCCCAACTCTCCAACCAGCGGTGTGAGCAAAGTCTTAAATGATTGCGCCCCCCAAGGAAATTAATATAATGTTATTTTTCAATATCTTGCGAATCATGTTTGTAAATACAATCAATAAATAGTAGATCAAATGAGAGAAGCAAACTCATGAACTTTAACGATACGGAAACAGTTAATCTATATTATATAAAACGCTAATACGTACGTATGTATGTATCAATAAAACCGATGATATTTCTTTTCTCGCGATGGCAACAGTTTTCATTTTTAATTGATTGGATTCGGCGCGCAAGAGCACTTAGTGGGTATCATATGTCTAATCGGGTGAATTCTCACCGAATTATCAAAAAAATTCTCACAAAATTATCTTCATCGAAGCCGATGCTTTACATCCGGCGTTCAGTACTATTTCATATTGTTTTACAACACATGGTTTTAGCCCTCTGGTGGGAAAGACTTTAAAACAAAACTTACAACAGTTACTTTTCTCAACAACTGAAATTTAGAATAGTGTGATTAAGAAAAATATGCGAACTGTTTTCAATTTCAAATTAATATTGAAATGCACAGGTTTAGAATTTTCTACAGTGAAAAGTTTTCGAAACTTCAGTGTTCAAAAAAGTATACAAAAGCTAGACGTTAAGAACGTATCCAATGAGCGAGCAAAGCGAGCATCGGATTGCGAAGCAATCCGAAATGA